GTGTATATATATATGTATATATATATATATATAACATATACGCATACACACGTTTACTTAATTTACATACATGTATATATATACATATACATACATATTTCATGATACTATTTTCATATCACTTTCTCTCTGAAAAGCTATCTGTTCTGACGTATGTTTATACATATAAGATTGTGTAAAAGAAAAATATGTCGAAACTCTTATATGCATTATCAAATATTATGCATAACAAATTTTACAATCCGTTATTATTACAAGGTGTTATAAATTACAAGCGCCAGTTCAAAGTTACAAATTATTACAACTCCTATGTTATAATTTATTATAATAGTTTCTAGATTTATTTAAATGTTTACATGATGCCCATTGAGACTCAAGCGGTGTCCTTCAATTATTCTTTTATATTAGAATTAGGCAGAATTTTATACAGATTGTAACACTTCGATTAGCGCGTATGCTCTATATATAATTTTTTTTTTTTTTACAGACATGTTTTACTTTATTGCTGTTATTGGCTTAGTGAATAGTTGTTTGTTAACGAAGGCATCGTCGGCTTCACAGTTCATAAATACTTATATACACATTTCAGAAGTAAAAGATCTCTCATATTTTATACGTACAACACAAATGTTACAATATCATTATTTATAAATGATTAGACGGATTAATAAAATGACTCATAGTATAGGACATGCAATAAAATCGCTATCAAAATATCTTATATTAATACCTCATCATTGATATTTTATCTGCAATCTCACGATCACACAATCATATGGTTAATATTACAGTCAAAGCGTAGAAATCCAGACACTCTCACACTATTTGAGAATGAATGTATATATTTACTAGTAAAAGTAGTGCAAATAAAAGCACATGTACACTTACTAGATTTTCTATGCTTCGGTTGTAACATATATGTAACAAAGAAATGAAATATACAAATTATATACATCACCATAATGTAACAACGATTGTGTTATATTATTTTACATAATTCATGATAACGTCTTTGAAACAAGACGTAACTTTGCATTTTTCGAAGTGTCTCCCATATTAAATCTGCCAATGTGTGAAGAAGTGTGGTTTAAATCTAGCTATGAAAATATATTAGCAATTTGTTACATTGAATAATAAACCATGTTGATGACATAAACGCATGTAAGTGCGTATACAAAGTAGGAAACTAAAAAAGAAAGAAGAATCCCAGAAAATAAGTAAGAATATTTTATATCTTATACGATATCTGTTGGTGTGTCTTTCATATACATATATATACATGTATAAATGTATATATATTTAAACATTTAAAAAACCACTATGTTTTGATAACTAAAACACCAACAAATATCGCATTGTGAGATATCGTTACGAATACAGTTAGTGTCAAGTGAAGTCATTTACAGTAGTTCACACAGTTTACAAAATATGATTCTCCTCTTTAAATTGCACCAAACAATGTAACAATCTTCTATTTTTTTTTCACAGTTTTTTCCTTTACTACATTCTTTACAATTTTTCCCTTCGCCGCTATCGGTTTTGTTTTTATCGGTGGTTGTGTTTTACCATCGCTCTTGGGCACTTTTTTTGTTTTCACACCGATTTTATTATCCTTCGATTTGACTTTGGTAATAGGTGGCACTGTAACACCGGGTCTCACGCAGTTGGACCCGGTTGGCTTATACTAGGCTGTCGCTTTCACTTTCTTCTTTCGCTTCTTCTTCTTCTTGTCGTGAAGCTGTTCCTGTTTCTTCGCTATGCAAAAGCGACAGTACCAGTCCTCGTCGGCAGCTGGAGGAACTTGCATGCCGACGCATACCCTAAAAGTATCGACAATTATTGTCTTACATGTTACAATCTTTTCTTTTACGTAGTTTTCAAATTGTACGGTTTAAATTGTAAAATTCAAACACGTTTTTTTATTCGATAATTAGACACAGGTCAAATTTTATATCTTTTTTCTCAAAACAAATTTTAAGTATATAGAAAATGAAAATCAATAAATTCATATAAAATTTTACGTGTCACTTACCAGTGATACCACGCATCACAATCATCACAGCCGACCATCGGCGAGCCATCATCCTGGTGGCCGCATGCGGGACATATCCAAACTTGACGGCCTCCTTGATCCTGTAACACTCATCTCAAAATAAACAGAACAGAACTTGGCGAGCTTTTGTAACCCAACCCATCTCTGACAAATTTTTCAAGTTTCGGAAAATTGAATACTCAGCAAAACATCGGATGAATATATCAGAAACGTCTATTGAGATGATAAAACACGTATCAAAGATCCTTGGTAATGCATCTTGTCATGCTGTCCATAAATACATCTCTCTTTTCCGTTAAAAAAGAAACATTTTTATAATAAGCGAGATATCAAGGTACTATTCGTTTTTTTAAATTGCTGCAAAAATTTTTTTGAGTCTTAAACAATTTGTGAAGCTTATGCATTCTCTTCTGAAATATCTATTTTAATGAAATGATTGATGAACATAGCGTATGACTCGGAGAGATGAAAAACTTGTCTCTTCTTTTTTTTTCTTTTACATACAAATTATTCTTATTACTTGAGTGTAATCAGTGAGCACGTTATTTTTTTTCGTATTCATATTTATATATGCGCATCATTACTAGCATATTATATGACATATAAAACTAGCATATTATATGACATATAAAACCTAATTTCCATGACCTGGGGCGTACAGATAAAATGCTTTGCAACGTTCTTTAAAAGAGGTGTAAAGCAGTAGTAAGTACTCACCACAGTAGTGGTTGGTGTTGTAGGCAACATGCTCCTGCCATTTTCTTTGTCTTCTTTAGCAGCGTCCTTTTTAGGAACTGGGTCTGCTTTCACCTCTGTACCGTTAAAACCGTCAGTTATATTCCTAACGGATCTCTCATGCTAAATTGTTTTTTTTTTTTTGCAACGTGCAATCTCTCATGCAGAGCAGTTTGAATTTTTTGCTTAATATTTTGTTTACATTATATTATCTTCTCAGATAATATTCTTTTTACTTTCTAGTAGAGTATATTGTTAACAAAGTGTACGCAAAAGTTATAAAATGTGTCTGATCAGAAAAAGAATACGAAAAATCTGGTTGCTCTGTCATTTATGTCTTAAGCAAATTTTCACTTCAGTAAAATTAAAAACAAAGAAATGCATACAAACATAGTATTATATATTTTTATTAGTTACATTAGTAACTAATAAAAAACGCATGCTCTAACACTACTAGTTAACATTCAAGCAAATTCAGAAGTAGCATATAAAAAGTCCTACTTGTATCTTGTAATTAATTTCTGCACATGAAGAATATACAAGAAACACTCATTTATGCACTAATGTGATTGCTAAATAGAGAAGAAAAATTAATAGAAAGCGCACGAGCATATTATTATTATTATTATTATTGTTATGTTAACTATATAAAAGAAAATATTTTATTTGACACATGTACAAAAAGAAATAAAGCATGAGAAGCTGTACATTATTAAAATTGATACACTGTTCAGACTTTGAAGTTTGTGTATCATAAACTAAAAAAAAAAAATCAAAACAAATGACATAAAGATAATACTAATAAAAGTTTTTAATAAATGATTACACAAATTATTTTTAACGTTAAGAATAAAATAATAACGATATAATATCCTGCTATTTTACTCAAAGTGATATCATAATTATATAAACGATATCACAAATACAGTAAATATTTATGAAAATACCTCTACAAAATTTTGCAATATTGCATTTATGTAAGTAAATATATCTATTTGTTAAAAATTGTCAAAGCATCATTTCCAAAAATATACTACGTGTTACTTCTTTACATTTGTAATAATAAGAAGAGACAAGTGTAATATATATCGTATGTATAGAACACATACATTTTTCATTTACGCAAAATGAGAAAGTGATGATAGTAGATGTTTTCTTAAAATGCATATACACACGTGACGGAATATTAATGTTTTCAATTAATATTGTTTAATGAAGAAACACGATCATATTTGCACGAGTGCAGCAATCAGTTCTACAAATTGCATACGTAAACATAGCTGTTCAGAAAAGAGATTTGTATATTTCAAAAATAAAAATACCAAATTTATATAATTAATTGTTTTACTTAATTAATTTACTTATTTATTATAAATATGTGTTTGTTTTTTCTCTGTTCTAGAGAATATTATATTTTCTTAAGTCACGCCTTCTCTGCTTCACTAAGATAACAAACAAACAAAAATATACACACATCGGAATTTAATTGTTAAAAATATTTTAACTCAAATCATCAAAAATATATTGAATGTCTTTTCTGAAAAGCTCTTTGTACAGAATACATTTTGCAGGGTGAATTGGTAAAAATGGAATAGTAAAACAAGCGTTTAAGACTCAATTTTTATGTAAATTACATTTCAATTACTGAAAAAAATTCCATTGACAGTGTTCTTATCGATACTATTTTATTGATAGTGTTTTGACCAGAATATAAAAATGCACTCAACGTGATCAAAAAATTCAATATATCGACAATATAGTGTCAATAAAAACATCGTAAAGACGAAATTTTTGTCGGTAATTTCAATGTAATTCGATAAAAGAAATATTTAAGATTCAATGTGAATCTCTAGAAATGGAAAAATAATCATTAAATTTGAAGAAAATAAGTGTGTGACAAATGCAACTTAAAAAATATATATACAAGTCTAAATATAGCTAAAAGAGAGAATGTGTACTACTTTTTTTGTATAGTTCGGGGACAACATAATAATATACCAAAAGCGTGACTTAAAGAAAAACAAAGGAGACATGATATACCGTCACCACACGTCTTAAAAATGCATAGAATAAATAGCGTAAAATGAATGGGAAATTGGAGATTTTGGGTAGGCTCAGACTTGAAACAACATCGATGGGTTGGGTTCATCATTAAATATAAAATCATTATGTAAAATAAAAATAATTATAATAATTAAGAATTTTTTCCCAAATTGATTTTGTTTACAATAAATTTAATGTTATTTTTGATATAATAAACTGTTAAAAATCAAGTATATTTCTAATACTTTTATGTATGTTTACTTGTTTCTTTAAAATTTTAAAGCAACTGAACAACAGTAATTTATATTTTACATCAAAAATATTTTTAAAAACCAAGAATTTATATTAATTTTCAACTTTTATATATTACTATTTTCTGTTCAAAGATCCGTTCGATCAAAAGATTAATTAATTTTTTTATGTAATACATTATTATAGTAATTGCTATACTTGAGATCCTAGAATTTTGACTCAAATTTAGATAATCCCCGTAAATATTATAACAAATGTACTTACAAAATAATATGGTGGTTGTGGCGGCGCTATAGGGTTCGGGAGTTTAGGAGGAGGGTCAAAATGAGGCACTGGCTCACTTTGAGGTAGACTTTGGAAGTTAGATTTTTTTGATCGAGGAACTGATGCAGCACTAGTAAGATTGGTAGAGAAAGAGTCTGTAGGAAGAGCAAGGCTTCCGTCTAATATCCCCTCCTCTGTTTTCTTACTTGCTGACTTTTGTTTTGGTGGTCGTGTTACCAGTGCCGATATTTTCGCCAATTCTGGACTAGGTTCTCGTTTGATTTCTTCTTCGGGCTTTTTCACGAGCGGTTTGATGGTTCTAGAGAAAACGAAACATTGATCGACGCGGATTTTAACGACTAAACTTTAAAACAACTGAAGTATATAAATATTATATATTTATATACTTACATCTTCTTCGCAAAAGAAGGAGCATTGTCTGGTGTTGCTGGTCTAGGAGAAGCTGTACCCAGCTTTAACGTAAGTTTCGGAACAGCTTCCGGATTCTTATCTTCCTTCTGTGAAGACATACATATGTTATACATGTATTATACATGTTGCAATAGTATTGAAAGTAAAGAAAGACTATGAAGAATACCATATTTTTCTTAGTTTGGTCCTTCTCCTTTTTCTTTTCTTTCTTCTCCTTCTTCTCTTTAAGCTTTTCCAATTTCTCACGTTTATCAGCCTTTTCTTTCTTCTCTTTCACCTTTTCGCCTTTATCTTTATGTTTCTCTTTCTTGTCCTTTTTCTTCTTTACCTTGTCCTTTTTCTCTTTTTTGTGTTCTTTAGATTTCTAAAAATTTTGAAAACGATGTTATGTGAAAAAAAAAGGAAAAATACACACAAAACTACTTGAACATTATTTACTTCTGATTAGAAGTAATAGAGATATGTACTTATACGAGGTAATTAATGAATGCAAATGAATACGTTATCATGCATAGGAAAGATATATTCTTCGAGAGATTTCTCCAAGAATGTATCTTACAATAAAGCATAATCTTAACGATATGGCGTCCTACCGAGTTTACCATATCATTCTTCTCTGCTTTTTCAGTTTTAGGGTTTTTCGACGATGGTGTTTGCGTGGCGAGTACTGTTGGTGGAACAAGCGTGATTGGTGCGACAGGTGCAGACACTATAGGCGGTGCAACGCCTACAGGTGGTACCCTCTCGGGCAGTTTCATGAAAGGCGATTCTTTGTTCGGTTTAAACATCTTCGTGAATTTATTATCCACCTTCTCTTTGTCTGCTTTCTCATTCTCGTTTGGAATCGACGAAGACGGTAACTCAACCGGTGGTGGAATCAATGGCTTCTCCCGCTCCATCGGCTTAATCTTGGCCAACGCAAAATCTTCGGGTTTTATAGGCGGATTGAGAAAACGCGGCGGTAGCGGTAAGTTTGGCATCGCGGGATGAGGACCTGGCCCGCCACGACCCAGTTGTAACGGGAATCTCGGATGCGGAAACATTGGTGGAGGTATTAAACTGGGTGCCGTAGGAAACGGAGGGAAAAAGGGAAATCGAATTGTAGGTGGAAGAGTAGGCTCTCTGTGTAACGGTGGCTCTGGTGCTTGAGGTGTTTTTGGTCGTTCTAATATATCCACTTCTGCCGCATCGTTCAAGAGTGTCTTTGTCTGAAAAAAAAAAAAAAAACCAACAATCGCAGAAACTCTTGTGTGTACTTAAGTATACAAATAATGACGTGTACGTATGACGTGTATCCTACCTTCTTTGGACTGACGCATTGTTTCGGACTCTTCAGTTTAGATTCTTTCTTTTTGCTCTTCTCTTTTTTCTTTCGCTTTTGTTCCGGAACCGTAGGTACACTCAACTCGGGAGTCTTTGGCGTGCTGGGTGTACCCGGTGGCGAAATGTCAGCGTCGTCAAACATGTAAACATCCGACGGCGGACTTTGCATGTCCGTTTGATCGCTATCCGGTTGAATGTGCACATCCGGTGTATGAGGTGTTTTCTTCTCCTCGCGACCTCCCTTCGCTTCGGCGTCATTACGATGCGCGTGCTTTTCCGCATTGTTGTCATCAATAACTAATTCCGGTGAATGGTCACGCGAATGATCCAAAGTATCTTTATGCTTAGTTTCCAGCGTCTCCTTGTCTTTGTCTTTTTCTTCGCGCGGTTTTGAGATCTTTTTGAATATGTTCAGCTTCTGTTTGTCCGGTTCCGATGGCAATTTGTCGATGTTGTCTTCTTTCTTCTCGGCGACGGGAAGATCGTTCGTAAGATCTATCACCTTCTCGGTTTTGACTTTTGGTTGCGCAGCCTTCGATGACTTTGGACTACCGGCAGTTGATTTTGGTGACGCTATTTTCGGCGTGGACGGTCTACTACCCGTCGTAACGTCTTGTAATGTGGCGGGCTGCGTCTTGCCACCGCCCGGCTTCAACGGTTTCAACTTGGCTAACTCTTTCATACCGACCAGTTTTTTAATTTTGCTGTCGTCGATTTTGTCCGGCTTGAATAACTCCTTAGCGCTTCCTTTCTTCTTTTTGTTTTCTTTATCGAGTTTACGATCCTCCGGACCTTTTTTGACAACTTTTTTCGGTTTCTTGTCACACTTCAATTCAGGCGGCACCATCGGATAAGAGCTCGGTTGCGGTGATTCCGATCTTGACACTTGATGCGGCGTTCTCGCTTCAGGTAGCTTTCCTTCTCGAGCCGGGGATAAAAAACCGGAAGTGGTCATCATGACGCTGCTTATTTCGCGCAATGGTCTGCCCTCTTCCAAGACTTTTGCCCGTTTCACGATAGGACTCTCAAAAGATACGGGATCCCCGGGACGTTTGAAAACTACCTGTGGCGACAGTCTGTGAGGCGAAGTGTTACTCGAATTACCTGATGATGTCCCACTACTAGATGTCAGATCTGCCATACCATTTGTTAGACTTTCATTTTTTTCTGGCACATATTCCTCTGTAACCATTACATATTACGAATAAGATAAAAAGTTTAATATTATTGACACACTTGTGTATTATCAAGTGGTACAAAAAATCTAAGTTTATCACCTTCGGTATCTGGATACATAGCTGGTAAATGTTCGTGTACGTGTACTGGTCTGGTGACAACCTCACGACTACCCGGTTTTAAAAAATTCAAATGATTCTCACGCTTAACTGGAAATTGTGGCACCTGTATGACGCACGGAACGGAATCTACATTTTTTATATATTCTGCTAACTCTTGTATATCAATATTCATGTGTTGAAATGCTAATCCTAAGTCGTCAAGATTTGCTTCCGTCCTTCCCACTGCAAAACATGTCATAAATGTTTGTAAAAGTTATTTATCACTAGTTACAGTAAAAAAAAAAAATGTTTTAACAGTCATATAAAATCTCACGTGTATGTGTCATATACACATCTGAGTTTTTATTCTGAAAATTTTTTGAGACAAACAAGACACTCTGATTAAAAAAAAAAAAAAATACATAAAAGTTTCGTCAATTAAAATATCATAGAAACTACTCACAAACTTCAGCATATGCATGTGTGAGTCTTGAAACACGTAACAGATATTCTTGCATAAGATCTACCATGAACTCCAATGGTGTTGAATTTATGGAATGCCATCCTATGGTCTGACAAATCTGAGCAACAACTAGCTTTAGAATACCCCTGCTATATTCAGCTGACATTTTTATCTATAAAATTATAAAAATATTTCTCTTTGTATGTTTATATTATTTATAACTTTTGTGACATATATTTGTTTCTTTGCCTGGTAGAATCTAACAGACTCTTTTTTTAAAATATAAGAAACTCAAAAACAGTTTTTTTGTTGTAAATTTAAAGATTTTTTATAAATATCTCTGATTTATCCCCAAAACAATGTGATTAACTAATAATTATTTTAAATAATAACTCTTTTTTTATTAGAAAATTACAATTTTTTGACATTTCACAAATCCTGTTAGGCGTACAACTTACATTTACTTCGCATCAGGTATGCAATAAGTAAGTAAAAAATCTTTTGTACATGTACTTGTTGCTAATATAGGAGTTAAAAATAGACATAATTATACAAATATTAAATAATTTTTTAATTCAATAGTGCATAACTGTGTGTGTGTGTGTGTGTGTGTATGTGTATATAGTATATTTACACACAACATGTAGTACATTACAGACACAATATATATAACTTATAAAAAAATATGTCAATCATGTCAAAAATTACATTGTTACTTGGTCTCAAATTATTTCTATATATACCTTGTATGTATACAATGATTAAAATTAGGCCAAATAAATATATGTAGACTAAGAAATACAAAATCTCTATTTCCCTTCTTGGGTAACACACCGAAATCTGTATTAAATGCGCCAATCGATTAGTGATCAACAATGCTGATTTCGGATATCTTTCTAATTCGTGAGGAGTCATGGAGATTAGAATTAAATCACAACAGGTAGCGTTTGTGCTCACCTGGATACGGTGTGTGTTTGACAGCGAAAAATTATCTTACAAATTCCGATAGTCTATCACATCGTTAACACAAGGCCGTTGTAGTTGCGTCTAACACTTATCTATCGCATGAGGCATTTTATTCTTTACGCAACGCGCAACGAAGCTTAGCAACACGCCACACGTAGACGTACCACACAACCGCTATCAGCCGCCATTCTCGTTCTCCTACCTACTCTCTTCTCTCGACGGTCGAGCGTCGAGCGCGATGAATTTTCCCCTACCACAGACCGCCATTAAAGGCCATTGCACGTGAAAGACTTTCGGTCGGTAATCGTGCGATCGCGAGCAAATCAACTAATCACAAATCAGCGTTAGATTACATTTACGAGAATGCTCTGCGTGATTGGTTGATTGCTTGCTACGATGACTTCCGATTTACGAATAAAAGGGTGCGTTCAGACAACTCAACAGTTGTACAACGGTTGAGAGATACTCACTTCTGATTGGATCATACTTTTGGAATTGCAGCAGATCTTGAAGAATAGTCTTATCATAAGTGATGATCTCTCAACCGTTGAGTTGTCTGAACGTACCCAAAGTTAGGTCTTAATGATCGGCCGCCAGTGACTTCGGAGAAAAGGATTAAGGTATGTATGTACCTTTAGAACAGAGAAGACAAGACAGTCTTTCTGTCCTTCTCACTCTCATAGCAATTAACTGCACTTTGACGTACCGCCGGTGGTACCAAAGAGCCTCTCAAAGATTCATTCCAAAAATCCTACTTTTGATATTTTATTTCAAATACAAATTGTTTAACACGCGTCAGAGAGAGAGTAGATCCAGAGTCAAAGTTTCTTCCATCACTTGATTAACAAGACCAGTGATTTTTTTATTGAACATGATTTACTCATTGGAATTGACCAATCGGATCTATCGATCGGCCAAACGTGACCAGTCACGTGTTGACGTTTGATCGACGATGGTGGCAATTTTTTAAATTCACCAATGAGAACGACACGCAGCGAAGGATCGTCAACGACTGCCAATAGCAGGTCTCGAAACATCGCGACGCGAATGTTGCCTGTCCTTTGTGTCGTTTCCATGACAACGTTACCGGATATTGATGTCGTTCATTTGTGTACGACCGACGTTTCCTGTTTGAGACACGCCATATCGCTTGTTATTTGCTTAACTCTCCGCACAGAGAACGCTGACTTTGGATTGGGACTCTTCTGTATTTTGGTCAATATTAATCGGCGATCGAATTCGGATAATTGAATACAAACGATGAGCGACATCGAGGTGAGTAAAATTGATTTTGAATTGGGCAAAATCTCGTCGCGAACAACGTGAATCGCTTTCTCGATTGTTATCGCTCTAAAGCTATAACGCTTTTCGGTACGGCCATTACGAGAATCATGCGATACGCAATATTCGTTACCGCGTGTGTGTTAAATTAAATGTCGCGTGTTACTTCCCGGAATGTGTATCTTTGCAGCAACACAAAATTTAACTTCGACGCGCTGTTCTTCACAGCGATACGCAGCGATTTTTTAGAATTTCCGTGTAATTACCGTTGTCTTGATCATTTTTATGGGAGATGAAAAATGATACATATATGATAATACTGCTTGCAAGATTCACGAGAGTTAAGCAGACGACTGTTTTGAAGTCGTATTGTGTTTATTGGTTTGTTCTTTATTTATTTAAATTGTTTAAAAAAAAAAAAAATAGTTTGTATGGAAGAAGCTGATCATTGGGCTAGGATTTTTTATGCGAACAATATGACGAAAATTTAAAGTCGGTTTTATTAGAGATTCAATTTACAAAAGAAAATTATTTATTAATCTGATAATTATTCTTATAATTATTTGTAGTATACTGCAAGATTTTATTTCAATATAGAAGAGAATATAAACTCTGGTGAGATTATTCAAATGTTACGTACAAAATGTGAATCTAAAAAAATTTTGAACAAGATGGAGTGTGAAGGAGATAGTATTAATCTATACTAAAAAAAGTCACATTATTTTCCAAACTCTGCAATGGTTATTGAGTAATTAGATAATGCAAATTATCACTGAGTGAGTAGGAAGCAATAGTCTAGATCAGAGCCTTCCAACTGATTACGTGACCGCATAGAAATCTCATGGCGCAAACCGCACGCCGTGCGCGAGTTGGAAGGCTCTGGTCTAGACTGTAGGCATGTATAATTTTCACACTTTTGACTTGGTCAAAATTTTTCATACAATTTTTATAAATGTGTTGCATTGATGAGAACAACTTTTTTTTGTACATGTATGTGTATCATTTATGTTTGTTTCAATTTACAGAGAAGTGGGAGTCGCAGTGCTAGTCCTAGAGGGCCACGTACTACAGATGGCGGCTTAAGAGATTCGCGATCTCATTCGAGATCGCGTAAATCACGTGATCGCAAAGAAACTCATAGAGAAGTCAAGTACTCTAGATCAAGAAGTCGTTCCGTATCACGAGGTCGCAAGGCGTATCACAGCAGTAAATATGCCAGTGTTGCCCATCGAGGTAGCAGTCGTAGCAGAAGCCGTTCTCCTTATCGCGGTGGTCGTCATTCCCGCAGCCGATCTCGTTCTTACTCACGTTTTCGATATTCTCGCGAGCGACGCGTATATCGATCTCACTCGTGTAGTCCAATGTCATCCAGACGACGACACATTGGTAACCGCGACAATCCTGGGCCCTCACGTTGCCTAGGTGTTTTTGGTTTGTCAATTTTTACCACCGAACAGCAAATACATCAGATATTCTCAAAATATGGTCCTGTGGAACGAATAGTGGTTGTCATAGATGCCAAGGTATTTGTACAAGCCACGTTTAAACAGTAAATAATCTCTTGTTGCCTGTATCAGACTAGGATTTGAGATTGAATCGAAATTTGATCGGTCAGAAGAAAACTTGAGATTGAATTTCTTTTCCCAATTAGTTAAACCTAATCTCAATTCTAATCTGATACACTAGCTTTTACTCCCCAAAACAAATATGGGGAACATGAAAGTAATGCCAGAGATTTAGAAGTTCATACTTAAGACTCATATGATACGTCAAAGGCCTCTGGCTACACAATTTATAAATGCAAAATAAATTACTATTAATATATTGGAATTAATTTATATTAATAATATTTTGCGTAATTACAGACTGGAAGATCTCGGGGATTCTGCTTTGTATATTTTGAATCAACCGAAGATGCTAAAGTGGCCAAGGAGCAATGCACCGGTAGAGAAGTCGACGGACGGAGAATAAGAGTAGATTTTTCGATAACACAACGTGCTCACACTCCCACTCCCGGGATATACATGGGCAAACCTACACATCTTCATGACAGAAACTGGGACGGTCCCAGACGTAGAGAGTAAGTTCGGCAATATAATAGCAGGATTTTTACACAGCGAGATTTGGTTGCATGGTTGTTGTTAAAAAAAGACTTGAACTTAAGTTAGTTAGCACCGTGCAAGAGTATTTGTCTATTTTTTTTTTTTTTTTTTATTTTTAGGATTGGCTACAGAGGTAGCTACCGTCGATCGCCAAGCCCATACTACCGTCGACGTGCTCGGTATGATCGCTCTAGATCGCGCTCCTATTCGCCACGTAAGTACAGTTCCGATTACAAAGTTGTAACGTAATATAAGCAGTCTACCATTGACATGTTATTCCTGTATATAAAAAAAAAAAAGAAAAATGTATCTTGGAAATGATATATTTTTACAGAACCGCTTAGAAAATAGAAAAACTCGCGCTCTTAAAAATTACAATTCGGACAATGAAAGACCAACAGAACACGTTTATTTACGTTAGCTTTGTTCCTTTGGTCTTCCATTTCCAAAAATTACTTAAGTTGTTTTGTTTCCGAAAACTTAACACTTTTGTACACTTATTACACAATACACAATTTACGTGATATATCTTGCGTTTTCTAAAACATTTTCTGTATCTTTTGTTTTATTTCTTGTGTGAATCTTTTTATATTAACAAAACTTTTGTAAATTTCGAACATTTTATAAAATAATTTTTTTTACAAAATTCAAAACGAGCTGTGATTATTTTTTTCGGCCTATTTTGACATTTGTATTATAGTATACACTGATTCACAAATGATTTCTCGAACAAATCGTAAAGAGTTTCTCTGAACAATTTTTAAAAAACTATGAAATTTGATGTACTAACTTCAATAAGATGCAAATAAAATAATTCGTAATTGTATATAACAAATCGGATACCGATTATGTGGAATTACATGTATTATGAATCCCCATGAGAATCGATTTCGATACAGGTAGAGTGCACTTATGTAACATAATTACCAAATAACTCGCGTTGCTGATATTCAATTTTTCCGGATTCATATTTTCGTAGACCGCTTATATTTCAAGTTGGAAAAAAAAAAAAAAAAAAAAAAAACGCGATGTTAATTGGTCTACGAAGTAAGTATTTAAGTTAGTAAAGAAGAAATGTGGCAGATGGGAACATCAAAGAAATTCATCTGATAAATCGTACGGTAGTAACTAAGCAGCAATCCGTAAAATGCGTAAAACAATTATGGTTTTTTTGTTGCTTAATGAATTTCAGGTCGGTATTAAGTGACGAGTGATCTGGAAGCCAGATGTTGATGATTTTGGGAGACCAATGAGTTTGACCCGAGAATAGTTCAGCACGGGGTCAAAATGCATACTAAAATATTCTGTCGTTACTATTCTTACCTTACATAATTTTCCGAATTATACGCAGTTTGATTATTTTTAAGTGTTGTAGTTTGTACAATTATATTTAAAAAAACACACAACGTATTCATCGAGACGTTTAGCAGGAAACAAAGATGCGAAATTTTAGTAAAGTAGTGCATATTATGTGCACAAAGTCAGTAAGGTTAGAATAGACACAGAACCTTATTTTCATAAGTTCATATCGTTTTCTCCTAATAGTGTTTTTGTTTTTTTTTTTTTTGTTTTTTTTTTTTTTTTTTTTTTTTTTTTTACCGCATACTTAAATGTTCGCTATAGCCTGCGTTCAGACTTTCTCGCCACACGTATTCTCTTAATCGTTTATGAAGATAAGGTTTTATGTTGTAATAAAACTGTGCACAATTTATATTTATAATGTAAAAGCTGGAATATGATTGATTATTCGTATTCTCGCTCGATTTATCAGGTTACAGTTGTATTCCAGTCATTGATGAAAAGTCTGAAAACAAAACAAAAAATGTGCTATACTTGCAAAAAGATCAATTACGAAAGAATATCAATAAAGGAAATATAATCAGAAGAATTCAAAATTTAAAAATTAAAAAGTTGCGAAACACGAAACGTAATAAATAAATTTAATATCGAGTCGAAGTAAGTTCTCTAACCTGTTTGTTTGTTTATAAGGTTTTGAATCAAGAGGTATTGGATGATAGAGGGAAGTTTGAAGTTTTACTCTGAAAAAATGAGTTTTGAAAAGTTGAAGACAAGATATCCGAAGATCACGTTTATCTTGCTCGCATTATCAAGAAATCCGAAGGTTTTCTCGGTTGCTTGTGACAAAGAATATGATCTGCAATTCGTTTCCGGCTGAGAAGTCTCAAGCCTAGAAGAGAACTTCAAGCGCTCAATAACGCAAGCCCGAAGACAGAATCGAGTTCGATCGTCCGACCCTCGACCGAGACGAGAATCGTTTGGTTGGGGGTGAAAAACGACGGAACGTGTTTACGAAAATATTGAAGAAGGATTGAAATATATTTCGTAAAATAGGGACGAGCGTAAGGTGCTCCCAGACCTTTTTATCGATCATATTCTTTATCAAATTGGTTTGGTTGCCATACGCCACCGTTTCGCTTTAGAAAGATATCATATGCATATATAAACATATATATATATACATATATGAGAATAAATAAAGTTAACGTACCTTCTCTTAACACGATCCTCTCCCTCCACCATCCCAACACCTCTGTTTGCTCCAAGAAATTCCGTTTTTTTTCTTTTTTTTTTTCTTTTTTTTTTATTATAAATTTTACTTGTCTGTATAGAGTGTATACGATCAATCGAGTTTTGCGATAATGTTTCGTTAACGAATTGTTTATATTTATCCTATCCTTTTTTTCCTCACATTGCGAAGCTTTTTAGTGCGTCACGGAAGTTCTTCACGATTACAGGAAGAGTAAATCTAATATTATACTTTACGCAATATTACTGTTTTTATAAGTACGTGAATCGATTTTTCTGTATAATTATAATTATATGTAGAAAGTTCGTTTGTGCAACGAACTGTCTAAAATCTAATGCCAATAAAGTCAGCTTCCAATAAGAAATCTGTTTGTCGCTTTTCTACTCATCTAACACTTTTTAGGGTTTTTTTTTGAAAATTTGATGGTGATATGAGCGAAAGAAAAAGGTAATAACTTAATCAAAATTTTTCAACGTTATTATTGCTTATTATTTCAACTTTATTTTGCAAAATAAGAAAAATTTGTAATTTTTAAAAGAAAAAGATCGATCACAATCGACTTTTTTCTAATTCTTTACTAGTTTTCAAACTTGTATTTGCGCAGGCATGCGCGCATGTAAAGTAGAGTAATAAACGCACAGTTGTGTGTGTATTGGTAAAAAAAAAAACAGCGCTGTGAATAAGAACCGATTTACCAATCTCCGATAAACTCGAACGGCCGATTATTCTATTGGAATTGGCCGGTCGCATTAGTCCTTCGGAAATTGACCAATCACGGTCGGCATTGAAAAATTCGAACAATGTCAGTAGGTTATTTAGTTCTTCTTATCCATCAGCTGATTCTTCGAGGTCTGTGTGGCATCTAAATAGATCGCTAAACCTTGCGAACTCGCATGGCCAAAAAGTGCAGACAGAATGAACATTGGAAAGGTAAAAATCGAAGATTACGACAGTCCTCGTCGTCGTATGCGAATTACGAGGATCTGTCGTCAGATGAGGATGTAGGCAAGGACTTCGGCGTTCTCGTGAACGCACCGATTTCAAAGGGCGGACATTTCGTCTTCAAATCAGAGAAGCTCTGGTCCGTCGATACCTCGCAGTATTCGGAATTCTTTACTTTAAATCTGAGAACATTGTCGGCCGCGATCGACTGTATTCCGTTCAACGAGTGTATCGACGTGGACGACAAGTATTTTACAGTGAGTATGCGAGATATCGCGCGTGCTCGAGATTATTTACTTCGCAATTCTGCGAGTATACATTTATATATATATGTATTTCTGTGATCAAATCAGATGATCTGACAACTCAATTGTATCACTTTTGTAGAGCGATCAGTTAACAAGTATCCACAATGACGCCGAGAAAGGAAAGATAGCTTACAGCGCGATTTTGAACGACCTGAACGCGTCGAGTGCCGTATGTCCGAAACCTGAGACGAGCAAAAACACGGAAGACGATCAATCGAAGACTTCGAAATTGACAACAAACACGAAACTACAGTCCGACAGCAGTACTGATAATTTGGAGGAAGATATAGACTTTTTGTTGTCCCTAAAAGAACCCGTCCAGAGAACCTTGAGAACGACGCAGCCTGTTTCTATGACTCAGGCTAATGGTAAGATTGTTTTTAAATCTTATGTATATATGTATATATATATATATATTGTGTATATATATACACAATAAATATTTTATTTCAGGATATTTTATATTCTTAATCCTGACATTATTAAGTGTGTATATATTCTTGTCAATAATTTATTGCAGATTACAGTAAAATAAAGCCAAAAGATGCATCAACCAAGCCACTAGACCTGGAGAAGTGGCTAGATTCTGTCTTGGAAGATTGACATTTTTTTCTGTGATGAACGCAGACAACCAATTGTTGAGGTTGTTAGAAGAAAACATTTATACGGAGTATATTGAGACTGTTGAAAGAGGTTTGTTCGATGTGTACAAAATATATATAAACAATTATTTTTATATATAATTATAAAATTATAGAATTTCCTGTTTCACATGTTATATGTTATACGAAATTCTCATCTTCGAGGTAACTTATTAACTATCTCACAGCTTTTTTTTTCAAAAATGCAAGTACAAAAGTTAGTCTTTCAATGTTGTCATAAGAAATGCGTGCATGTAGTCGTACACTACTAGCATAATGGCACCACCTGGACCCAATCTCAACACTTTTGGCACCAATCCCTTGTACAAAGCCTTGAATCTGAAAATCATAAATTTATATCACGTCACTAATTTCGAGATCTAGAGAGAGAGAGAGAGAGTTGTATCGAAAAATCATATATAAATATAAATACCCTTCTTGTTTGTAAACAATATACATGGTGTTGAGAGTTCCTCTGTACTGTGAACCCTCTCGAGATCCCTGAATACGGCTTTTGGCAACATCGAATGGTATGTTCAAACAGGAAGCGACGGTGCCCGATACGAATCCTATGGCAACCTGCGAATATTGTTTTCAGAGATAATACGCAGTTGCATACGCAGTTCATCGTGTTTTTCAACAGGTGTCTGAGACAAAGTAAAAAATTACCTTGGTTAAAAATTCCAACCAAGGTTCTTTTGCAGGCGGCACGTATCCCTTGACGGAATGATAAAAACCGAAATAAAACGAATTGAACACCGCGTTTCTCATTATAGTGGCAGAGAGCCCTTTGTTAAGACCATTTGAGCCGAAACCGTGCTTCGAAATGATTTCTTTTGTTACCGCGAGCGTGGACGGGCTCTCATTGACGTGTTTTCGATTGGATTGTAGATTCACTTTAACCATTTCGAATGGATTGACTAATATTGCCTCTGTGACACCGGCGAAGAAGCCAGCGCACGAGAATGTCTGCAACAATTTGAAGTTTGTGTATTATCTCTCAAAACTAAAAGAGATTGTTACGTGTGCAACACATTAACAATTGAAATAAATTACCACTGGTGTAGGTGCACTAGCGCCGAACAAAAAGAACTGTTTATACTGTTCGAACGTAAAAAACTAAAAACAGAACATATTTTATGAAAACTAAAAACTGAAACATATTTTATATAAAAATAAGAAACTATTTTTTTCACAATTAAACATCAAGCAAAATGCGTAACTCACTTTAACAGCACGTTTAGGAGTCTCGACAACTATCGGAGGTAGAATTCCTTTCCAAAACGCCGTCAGTCCTTCAGTTCTGTACATTTTGGTCATACAATCACGAATACCTATAAGAATAGTCGAGTAAATAACATGATTTGAAACACACAACCATCGCCGCATCGTAGAAACTATACCTGTGTAATACAACGGATCTGATGTCGCAGTTTTTACTTGGAGCTGGAAACGCGTTTTAACGAGGTCCATCGGATGCATTATACAGACCTCAATAAAACCCGCTGATCCTCCAGAACCGATCTGGATCACAGCTTCTTTCAAAAGACTGTCTCTGGTACGTTGCGCCATTTTTGCGTTTTTTTTTTTTTTTTTAACAAAGGGCTTGTTTAAAACGGTATACAGAATGTTGGAAAGAACAATCACACAATTACATCACTGCAATGTAAACGTACGGTTTATATATTACTTGAGTCATTTTACAATTTAACTAAAAATAAACAGGGTTTCAGTTTGCCCTTGACTTTGAAATTGTTGAGCTGGCTAAGGACCAATTCCACCAACTCTAATTAAGTGATTGATAAGTTCGAATAATCGATCGAATGATCAATTGCAACGCGGACTAATTGGAGATGTTGGTGAAAGTGATTCGCATAGAGTTGTTAACGAAAAGTAACAATCAAGAATATTTCTAGTAGTTGGTTTTTCTTTTTTTTTTTTTTGTAAAAATGTACTATTATAAATGCTAATTGCATATATTTTTACCAATCCACCTTGACAGATAAGCGTATTATCTTCTACAATAAGGCATTTATAGGCAATAAACTTTGGAATAGACATACGTGTATACTACACTTTTTTTGCTACAAAAATAGACAACTTGTCCGTTTCCACGACTAGAATCCTACTGGTGAAGCCTTGTGACAGCATGGTCCGCACGACGTGAAAGAGATCTGGAAAACACTATGACCTAAAAATATGTTTGATGACTTGGGATCTGGTATCGACTTATTTTTAGCGCACAAAAGAATTCTAACCCTCTCGATACGATTACGTATATAATCAATTTACGTGAACTTTTTTTGTGTAAATTTTACTTTCCCATTCGCACACACATTATTGAGATTTCTCAAAACAATACACACACACACACACACATATATGTACATATAATGCTTTATTAATATTTTAAAAATATAATAATTATTTATTATCTTCTGTTTAAAATAACTTGTACATTACTAGTAAATTAAATTTTAAATCGATACACCAAAATGTGTGTAATATGTAAAATAATTGTTATATATTTTGAAAATATTAATTTTCTTTACAAAATATGTATTAAATAGGTACGTCAAATGTGGGATATATATTCGCTTATAGTTAAAATTTAGATATACGTGGTACCATATCGTTTATTTTATCGTCACGCGCGCTACTTCTTAGCAACAACGTTATATCTGCGTGTCACATATCATGCAAATAAAACATTTACATTTCAAACATTTACTTTGCAAAGATTAGGATTACAATAACGCGTTTTTTTTCTTCATAAACAGGGTACAATAACGTTCTTTTGGAATAGAATTGCGCAATTTTATCGGTTTTATTTGTTACATTTGAAAATCCGTACTTACGGTGAGCAAACTCGGATATCGACAAGCCCGGCAACGTAAATAAATGTTTTATAATCCTTAAAGTTAATTAATGACGATCGCTCATGTCGTTGCAATGGCTACAAGTCGTGCTCTTTCGGAGTAAAATCACTAACTCGAAACGAACGAGCTGCCGCTCGTTACACTCTCGGCTCGTGTTATCTTATTTATTTATGCGTTGCGCGTGTAATTGCGCACGATAGAAGATTTTTTAATTTCTCCGATAGATAGAACAGTGCGACGTTGTACTGAGGAGCGAGATATAGTGGGTATCTCGAATAAAATAAAATAGAACAAAATAAAATAAAATAAAACAAAACAAAACAATTGTCTAGCCAAGTTGCGCGTGAAATCGCGTTTTTCCGACTGCGATCTTCTCCGTGTGAATTACACGGAGGAGTGTTCGAAGTCGCCTATAGCGCCTTTCATCTTCGCTAATCTGTACACGCTGGTTCTTTTATCACGTGACAACGCGTGCACGTGTCTATCTTCTCTCTCTCTCTCTCTGAGACTCATCTTGTAACAGCATTATCTAATAATTTTCAGTCTTATCTGTTTTGCTTTGTTATATATTAAGAAACTTTTTCGTCGATTCTGCATTTTCTCAATCGACGTGCGCACCTGCAAACAATAAATGTTATCGCATAAAGTGTGTCTCAATTACGCGTCGACTAGCTTACAATTCCGGGAATTGGCTCTAATTGAAAGATAAGAAAAAACCGGACTCATCATCCACTTGTCGTTTCGCTCTTTTGTGCAAACGTGTCTTCTCTCTCTCTCTCTATCTAATTCACCTTTGCACCCCGAGTGCCAATGACGGAGCATATCTACGCAGACAAAAAAAAAACGACGAGTGTTTTAAATAAAACCTTGACGAACGTTATCGATGTTTCGTAATAAATGCAAAGCCATCCAGATACGTAACGTGCACTAACACAAACGTGATACGGACGACGAACGGTGTTGTACTTGTGCGTGATGAGTCGCGCCGCGATCTGACGCTTAGGCAGCGCAATGGATTCAGCATAATATCTCTCTTTCGTGCGCAGTCTCTCCGCTACTACTCGCGTATGTATTATATTATTCTGCATTATCCGCGGTCTCTGTTATTATATTTTTCATAAAAAAACGTCGCGCGTCCGTCCGTATTGAGTGCAACATGAGTGTGAGACAACGAAAGGTACGTATGTTAAAAACAAATTTGTCGAATCGCATCTTACGTGTCGAGAGATACTCAAATTGAGATGATGTTTTGATTGCGGCGGATTTTATTGCGTTAATTGCATGGTCAATGCCGCGCGCGCGCGCGCGCGCATCTTTTCTCGATGATCGAGCGAGATCATTCGAATTTCGAACGAATTGTTTGCTGCGTCACGTGATCTGCAGCTCTTGTTGGTCCACACATGCGACGGCACACACCGCCGCTATGCAAATGCGATGTCTCGCCGCTCTTTCTCTCGTTATCTCCCGCGCCGTATGAGAATAATCTCGCTGTTTACATGACTAACCTGTACCCCTGGCAGATCGTACGGGTCACCGTAGATGCAATATACACTCGTGAGTGTGCGTGTGCGTGTACGTTACGGATGAATTTGCGCGCAGTTCTTGTTACAGACTCGGTCTCGTCGCGACTCACCGTTCCCCGATGAGGTTAAAAGTCTAAAATATGTGCCACTTCAGGCCTTTGTGTCGCTTTAATATTCAATGATAAAGAGAATATATATATATATATATATATTTTTTTTTTTTTTCACATAAAAGATCGTTCAAACTACTCGGCAAAAATATATTTGACAAAATCGTCCAAATTTTATCGCAATAACTCCCGTTATATACTTGCGCGTGATTTATATACACGTGTTATAAATCATCCTCAAAACCAGTTCTCTTTCGTTTACTTTCTTGGAATTATCTCTTTTTTTGTTTTCTCCGCATATATTTTCTTCTGTGTAATATATGTAAATTTTACAAACTGCTGTTTTTAATGTATAAATAATTTGTGTAATTTTTTAATATAATGCGAATAAATTTTTGTGAACTTTATTTACATATTTTTTTTTTATCTTTGTGGAATATAAATTATTGATCATTTGTTAATTTTCAGCTGCGAACAACTGAAAATGAAGAGGAGATTGATAATGAATTGGCATCTCGCCAAAAGAAAACCGCCAGCCAGCCGGGAAGAAAATACTTCACCGTAATGATGGTGCTCGGTGTGTTATTCCTAGGTTACATTGCCATTGCGAATGACTTGAAACCAATAAGAATAGGTAGCAAAGCCATTGACACTCTAGCGTTCTCTTTTAATTTGCAAAAACCATTTTATGTTGTTGTAATCGATGCTGGATCTACCGGCAGTCGTGTACTAGCCTTCAGCTTTCACGAGTCTATTCTCAATGGCAATTTAATACTTGACGACGAGTTGTTCAGCGAGATCAAACCTGGACTGAGCTCGTTCGCGGACACACCGAGAGACGCTGCAAATTCTCTGACCACACTTCTGAACAAAGCTAAGACGGTGATCCCGCAGTCCGAATGGCCTCGCACTTTACTGACTATGAAAGCTACCGCGGGATTGAGATTACTGCCCGAGCACAAAGCCAACAACATATTAGAAGAATGCAGAAAGTTATTTCAAACATCCGGATTTCAGGTGGCGAAAAATTCTATCTCCATAATGGAAGGCACGGACGAGGGAATTTTTTCTTGGTTCACGGTCAATTTCTTACTGGATCGTTTCAATTCTCTCAGTTCTCAGACCACCGTGGCTGCGTTAGATCTAGGCGGAGGATCGACGCAGGTCACATTCCAGCCAGATAGCGTTCAAGCGAAGAAATTGGAGAAACATGTTTACTCGATCAACGTGTTCAATCACAATATGAGTCTGTACACGCACAGCTACTTAGGAATGGGCCTGATGGCTGCAAGAAAAGCAATTTTGACTTACAATGTGAATACGGAAAATACGGATTCCAAACTTCCCATAGAGATACACTCGGAGTGTATCAATCCGATCGTGTCCACCGAGTGGTCGTACGGTGGACGCAATTACATTGTGAAAGGTCCGATCAACGGCACGTACAAATTGGTGAAGACCCAAAACTTCGCCGGAGGTGACGAAAACAAGCCAGTTGTACGTTTTTCGGAATGTCTCAAAATCATCGAAAAATATGTTAGCACTCTCACCGAAAAACCGATAGGTCTGAAGGATCATGAAATATACGCATTTTCATATTACTTTGAACGTGCGACGGAGGTAACGCATCAACTCTAAAACGAAACATTAATATTATACGTAGAATAATAGCAAAAATATATTTTTTTGTTATATATACATATATTAACTTCTATTTTCTATACAAGAGATAATTTTTTTAATATGATAATTTAATACAATGTGTTTTTTTTTCAGGTAGCATTAATAGATCCATTTTTGGGTGGAGTTGTGCAACTGAGCGCATTTTTAAAACAAGCCACGGAAACTTGTGACTATCCAAATACGGATCAGCCTTTCATGTGCTTAGATCTGACATTTATTTATATTTTACTAAAGGATGGATTTGGCTTGGAGCCGAACACTAAATTATATGTGAGCAGAAAACCATTGTTTTATCTTGATTGTACGCAATATGAAAACAGGAAAAAATTAAAAAAAAAATAATAATAATAATATGCTTATGTTTACAGCTTTATAAAAAAATCAATGGCCACGAATTGAGTTGGGCATTGGGAGCCGCGTTTAACGTCCTTCAGAATGGACTTTGACACATTATGTGTTTTATCTTCCTGTTGTTATTAGATGAGTTTTTATTTCATATTTATGCACATTGAAAAGACAAAAAAGCGGAAAACCAGAAATGAGGAATACGCAGAAATATAGTCAATAAGATGTGTAAACAAAAGTTTTGTATATAAGAGTTGTGAAACATTTCGTGTTCGATGTTTGCAACACACACAATTGCGTATCATTGTACGCGCAAGCAAGCGCGTATTTTAGCATGGATCATCATATGACATGAAAGAAAGAAAGAAAAGCAGTATTTAAAATATATTTTTAATATGTACTATATATTGTTATATCTGAAATATATCTCGTTATTTACAAAACAGATTTATGTCGCCGCATGTTTGTGATAATTTGTAAAAAAACTTTCTTAAATCTCTTATTTGATCAAATAAAGATAACATGTACTTTTTATGTAACACTCTCTGTAGAATTTTTTATTTATTTCTCTCTTATAGTGTCTCACTCTTTGACTTTCTGGAAAGTCGATATATTTTGTACAATGATAAAGGTGACTCTTTTTATTCAATATCGAACACAATCAATGATCATCATTAACTCATGCAGCGGCTATGACTGTACTTAAAAAAAAAAAAAAAAACTCCTTTGAGACTTAATTTCTGTTCTGTACAATAACTTAAACACACTCATTGTCATTTTGAAATATTGTTCCAGGAACTGTGCTCATTTGTTTGCGCCTCTGTTTGGCCAACAAAACGTTTGTTACAAAAAAAGACCAGTAAAGTATGAAAGCAAGATTGTATCTTTCGCATATCAATATCGATAAACGAAATTTAAATTTGCTGCTGGTAAATTTGCTGCACAAACAAGTAAATTTACTATTTTATGCCAACTTACTTGTTAAAATATGCTAATGATATACATATAACATTCGAATTTTACATATGTATGTGTATGTATATTGTTACCTTGAAATATACAAAAAAAAAAGGATTTTTAAACTAAAGTATCGAGTGTGTGTGTGTGTGTGTGTGTGTGTATAATTTTCGCAACGTGTGACCAAATCAGAGTGATAAAATATATGTTTGAAGCCCGTTACATAATATATTTTGTATTATTCTATCACAGCAAAAAGAAAGAAAAACACGTTTTTCTATATGCCTAAATATATATGTATGTGTGTGTGTGTGTGTGTGTGTGTACATGTACATATGTAGTGCCTTTTAATTAAAATAATATATAAAAAAATAATATTAAAATAATATATATGACTATTTTATATTTTTGTATATATTTACCGTTTTATGCAAATTAATGCACTTTAAATGTGAACGACTATCAAAAGATTAGTCTGAAGTTTTCGGTAAATGCTAAAGTGAAGTTGATGAGCATATATTTTGTTTTTTTATTGGAATTTTAAAAATATTTAAAAAAACAACTTCTGCTTATTTACGTTCAAAAAAAAAACTTCAATTGCGCGTACTTCTTTCTCGCCGGTAAAGACGAAGAGTGATAACCGTAACATTGTTACTTCAATTCGAACTTGTCGCGACGAAGTTTCGTGGTTTGAAAAAATAATCGAAAAAAAAACATGATCTTGCGACATATATTTGTGCGTCATTTCCTCAGTGTCATAGAAAAATAACCAAATTTACATGACTAAGCCTCAATAAGGATACATTAATATGTATCACTGTAAAACTTGTTTTGCAACTGATCGATCGGGAATACGAAAAAAAGAATTCGCAGAAAGAAAAATACATATTATCACCGAGGCAGCATCTAGGATCACCGTTGGTATACGAATTTTACAACGTAAAATCTTCACGTAACAAAGTTACTTAAAAAACAAATCTCAACACGTGGATGAACGAAGTTCACCCATGACAAAACTTGGAAATTGATATCTTATTCATACGGAGTCTTCTCTCTTTTTCTCGACTCTAGACTCAGAGAAAGAGGAATTCTTCTATTTATTGCACGTTTGCAGTGTAGCGTGCTTGCAGAAGCCAGACAACACCGGAGGTGTAAGGTGCGCAAGACATTTCATGTTCAAGCGGTATCACGGTATGTAATCTTTTTTTTTTTTTCTAACACAGTTTGATTCTTTCGTTAATTAAATTCGCTTTTCTTCTCTTGTTTTCTTCTCTCTCTTTCTCTTTCTCTCTCTGGTTTTTGAAAAACTCTGAAACTTTACGATAAACTAGTTCTTCAGAGTGCATTCGCCCTAGACGCTGCGACGTGTTGCGCTCTCGTCTTGCGATTACTTCACGATCCTCTTCGCTTCCTATTTTTATCTTTTTATCGAGTTTTTGCTCTCTATTATCTGAATTCTTTTCTTGAGCGACTACTTTGATTACTTTAGTATGTCATGATGCTTTGTTTACTGCTTTCTGGATTAATTCTCGGATATCTCTCTAATTTAGTTCATTCTCTTTGATAAAGACAACAACATACTAAAGCTAAGCTATGTGTTTCAAACCGCATATACCTATATGCATTTAATAATTTTTCTACATTAATATATTATGCACTAATATTTTTGTATTTGTAATATGCAAATACAAAGAGAAGTTCACATTAATTAAAAAAAGATATTAGTTACATAAGTCGTTTGAAAGGAGTCGCGCTTTTATACTTACATATTCTATATACAACTATATATATAATTTTACACATAAATAATAATAATATATTTTACATTAATTATCCTTTATCTATATATATCTATAATCTATATATATTTGATATATATCTAACGCTAAACTCGACTTTTGACTTCGAATATTCATTTGTTGTACATTGTTATTGTATATTGATCTTATATTTATTTATATATCGCGAGTTACACGACGTAAATACATTATGTATCGCGCGGGCGCTATGTGGAGCAATGGGTGAAGTTAATGGGTCTCGGTTAGCTAATCGCACTTCAACCACCCCTCTACAGGGTCAACGTTGACCTCGTACGACGGAGTCACGACCCTCGCGGCCCGATTACACACCGGCAAGCAGCGCAAAACATATGCAGATCGCTTCACGAGGATACTTCGTAACACATTGTTGCTCGTCGGAGACAAGGACATTCGGACACGTTCCTTCAGAATCGCAAACGAAACGTTTATACCTACCTACCTATTTACGTTCCGTCCGAACACAGAGACGTGCGCGCAACACATGGCGAGAAGAACCTCACTTGTGACGTCAACAGACGAGGTGTTCTAAGTCCCGGTAGTAAATTATGATAAGACCGTGAAAAAAGTGTGTCGCATCGCGTGAGGTCGTCTACGAATAAATGAGCGTGTCCTCGAGGTTGCTGCTGACGACCACCACCGCATCTCTACGTGGCGGTAACGCGCCAACAACGCGCCTTCACTCGCGGAAGGTGAGCATTCGAGTGAATTTCGCGCGCGCTTCGTCGTCGTCGTCGTCGTCGTCTAGTCGCCGATGATTTCCGTGACTGACAGCCAATTTTTTACGCTCCCGTAACTCGCACGTACAAAACGTTTCATAGGTTAGCCGCAATGATTCGGTAAATTTTGTTTTTTTTTCTACGAAAAATTCGACAAAATTTAACAATATGACAAATTTTCTTCGCCTCATCATCGAACTGTTCTTTGTAAACAAGTTTCTGCATAAAAGAGTGCTGTGTAAATTTTGCTGAGTGAAAAACATGTGAATACTATTTGTGTGCATTTCTTTTCATATATACACGTGTGTTTTCATGGCATTTACATAATACTTGTATGTACATACATATATGTGTGTGTGTGTATATATACATATATATCATTTGTGTTTATATTTTGTGTTATGTCATCTAATTATACTTGTGTATATTTCAGATCTTTTCTAAATTAAAGTCATTGTGGCGACAACTGCTGCTAAAAAATTTTGTTAATCATTCTGTTCAAGAAGCTTTACCGTCTAATTATCTAAAAGCCCTTATGGACAGTTCTGTAGCTCAGCAAGAGTGTAAAAAATCCAAGATGCAGCCTTATCTGGACACATGCTACAATCCAAATAATACCAATCAAATGTGTGATGTATCATTTAATAATGCTCCCGCCAATTTAATGTACTGTCAATCTGGAGCTTATACAGACACAACTCATAGTATTAATACATGTGGGATAAATAGAAAACATCGAAATTATCTTGACAAACAAACCTACAAGGCAATAAGGAAATGGAAACAAATAGGAGGAGGTAAAGATTATTTATTTTATCTTTTTAGAGAAAATATTGTATGTGCATAATACATTTGTATTATCTGTTTAGCATATGTACACACATTTGTGTATATATTTTTGTACATTTTATATATAGTTACTCAAATAAATATTTGAAAACTGTAAACTTTTTTTTACAGGTAGGAGTAAAAGTATGGAGGATACTTTTTTATTGAAACTTTTATCTTTTAATATTCTCGCGCAAAATTTACTAGAAACTTATCATTTTCTGTACAAACGTCACAATAAACAAGCACTAGATTGGAATATTCGAAAATCTCTTATTATAGAAGAGATACTTGACGCTGAAGCAAATGTATGTATTTATAGCTTTTTTTTTTATTTGATTCTGTCAGACGTTAAACAAAAAAAATATGAGTGAAGTAAGTTAATTGTGTATTATTATCTTTTTGCGTATTTTTCAGATAATTTGTCTTCAAGAAGTACAACAAGATCATCTGATGGACATAGTGGATCCATTCAGACGTATTGGATACGACTATATCTACAAAAAAAGAACTAACGAAAAAAATGATGGTTTGCTCTTGCTGTATCGCTCTGACGAGTTTCTCTTGCTAGATCACGCAAAAGTGGAGTTATATCAATCAGGCATTGAGCTCTTAAGTAGAGATAATGTTGGAATAATCGCTAAATTAGCTCTTAGAAGCAATCCGGACACGCAAATTGTCGTAGCTACAACTCATTTGTTGTACAATCCAAAACGTAACGATGTACGATTGGCACAGATACAGCTTTTGTTGGCGGAAATAGAGCGGATTGCGTTTGTTGAGAATACGATGTAAGCGTGTACTTCGACAATGACAATTTCTTTTCGATCGTATTGGATGATTTTTAATATTAAATAATTCATGACTAAATTCTCAGAACGGGTCCAAAGTATTTACCAATCTTGCTGTCTGGCGACTTTAACTTGGAGCCGTATACAGGTGTTTACAAATTCCTGACAGAGGGTTCGTTCACATATAACGGCAAAGGTCGAAGTTTAGAGTCGCCTGAAGTCCGTTCTTTGTCCAACTTCTTAATACCTCCGCGATTATGCGTTACCGATAATTGCCAACATTTTAACATTCTTACCAAGAGATTACGAAAAGAAGGCACCGGCAAAATTATGGTACGTTTTTACATTAATTATGTGTATTTTATTACATAAAAAAGCAAATTACATTAAAATTATATTAACAACACTTCGTAGGTGGGCGCCGTTCTATTTACAGGACTGAGACACAGTCTCTCGCCTGCAAAGTGTTAAATTCTATTAAATTCTATTAAATCAAGTGTTTTTGATGTTATATTTCGTTATTTTACTAGCGGCACATTTCTCATATTTTTCTTCTCATTGTTTTTAGCTGGAGAACAGTGAATTTCCTGTTAAAAAAGGCGAGAACACGTTTGATACGTGCAATCTAGACACGTTGCAACACAGCAACGATAGTGGTCGTACACAGATCATTGAGATAGTGCAGGGCTATTCTGTGCAATTTTCATCGGGGACTTTAACACATCCTTTTAAGTTACGTAGCGTGTACAACCATACGGCTTACGGCGAGAAGGAGGCAACGACGCATCAAGACGAATGGGTTACGGTTGATTACATATTCTATAGCAACATCAAACCTGTGGAGAAGTACGCCTTACTTACAGTAAGCCAATGCTACAAGTTACGAGCAATACCAAATTTTGTAGTGGGCAGTGATCATTTGTGCATAGGGGCTACTTTCCAGTTACCAAAAAAAAAATCTTCACTTTAAAACATCTCCTTTTTTAGAAAAAAAAAAGTTGAAAACAAAGATATTTCGTGTTTCTTGTAATAAGTTTCTTCGTATTTTACCTCAATGCATTTTGTTATTGATTTGTGATTCATAAAAAGTAAGTTTATTTATTTAGAATCTAATTTACTAAGCTCTCTCTTTAATTTAACCTATAAATAAATGAAAGTATATTACAAATGACTAATCAGCACAAAAGAGATCTTACCGTAACGATAAGAATAGACCACTAAGCTTGAAAACAAACAACTTTTAAATAATTTTATAAAATTGCTAAAGGTGTAACTTTGAAGCAATTGTCTTCTCACATTGACGATAATAAATAATAAACTTAAGAATACTTTAAATAATTTAAAAATAAACAAAGTATCTTTGTCGTTGTTTTTAAGAATTAAAAAATAATACTTTTTTGAAAAGAATTTAGTAAATAAAGTTTTTTTTAAGTGTCAGTAGAAAAATTGTGATAAAATCCAACGGTTCTACGCAACTAGTAAATAAAATCTTCTAAACGCTTGAAATATCTTTGTTTTCAACTTGTTCTGTTTTTTCTTTTTTTTTTTTTTTATTGTTTTATTAATTCTTTTATTTACAATTTAGGGACAAGTATTCAGCGTTTTGAGTGTTAAGTTTTTTAATTTAAACAAATTAGTTAACGTTTAGAGTAGAACTCGTTGCGTGCAACCGTTCGATCAAATTGTCTGCCGGACTTGAAACTTAAGTCCACACAATTAATATACAAAGGTCCTGTAATTTTACCGGTATCTTTTTTTCTCAACCTTTGAACAAAGATGTTAAAATGTTGACAATTATCTGTGATATACAATCGTGATGGTATCAGAAAGTGATGATACCATCACAAGAGCAAATTATCACTTTTTTCATTAGTTCTTTTTTTTATTAATATAGTCATATCCGAGACATTTGAATGAAGTCATAATGTCCATTAGATGATTCCGGTGTACTTCTTGAACGATATCTGAAAAACACCCAAAAAGATAATAACATACAATTAACTTTCTTTACTCATATTTTCTTGTTTAACGTTTGACGGAATCAAATATAAAAGATAATAAATACATACATTTGTTTCAGCCTCAGGTATTTCTTCTATTATAAGAGATTTTTGAATGTTCCAATTTAGAACTCGTTTATTGTGACATTTGTATAGTGATACGTGTCTAATAAATTTTGCGCGAGAATATTAAAAGATATTAATCTTAATAAGAAGATATTCTCTGTATTTTCATTCGATCTAAAAGTAAATAAAGTTTTCAAACAGAGAGAGAGATATACATATATATATTATAGGGATACTCAAATAAATATTTAAAAACTTAAAGTAAAGTTTTTTTAAAGATAAAGTAAATGAAGAGATACGGAGACTGTCACCATAGCAGAAGCAAAACCGTTACTCTTTTCGTTAGTTTTTTTTTATAAAGATATTCATATCTCCGAGACATATCTCTGAATCACAATGTTCATCAGATGATCTTACTATCACTTCCTGATACCACCACGATTATATATCACGGATAATTGTCAACATTTTAACATCAGTCAAAGATTAAGAAAAGAAGATATCGTTAAAATTATAGTACGTATTTTCAACGTAGACAGAGAACGTCAATTTGTTTAAATTAAAAAACTTAACAGTCGAAGCGTTGAATACTTGTTCCTCAATTGTAAATAAAAGAATTAATAAAACAATAAAAAAGACAAAAAATGAATTGAAACGTTATATTACAAATGATTAATTATCACAAAAAAAATTTTACTGTAACGATCGTTACAAAAGAAATAATCCTTAATATAAAGATGAGAACAGAGAGCTAAGCTTGAAAACAACTTTTAAATAATATTATAAAATTGTTAAAAGTGTAACTTTGAAGCATTTGTCTTCTCACATTTACGATAATAAATAATAAATGTCTCAATTATTTTCAGTTTTTTTTCATTGTTTTATTAACCCTTTGCGGTCGGTGCCGCCACTGTGGCGGCATTTGTAATCTGTCGTAGAAGTCGGTGTCGCCGCTGTGGCGGCATGATCACGTCTCGAAAGATCACTCCACAAAAATTGAGATTAACAGAAAGCTAGCCATCCAGCTAGCCAGCTCCATTTAGCTAGCCAGCTAAATTTGCGCCGACTAGCTGGTACTCCCAAGCGAAAAATTTACCGACCGCAAAGGGTTAATTCTTTTATTTACAATCAAGGAGCAAGTATACAGCGCTTCAGCTGAAAGATAAAAAGATAATTATTTTTTGATATAACGATGTAGTGATGTGTTGTGTGTAACAATTATCCAAGAGACTTATGTTTTTGTACAATATTACAGTCTTGCTTGTCTGTGTGATATGCGGTACTGCAAGACTTGTGTTAGTCATGCAACTGAAACACAAATCTTAATAACATTTGTCCAAATTTGCCAGCACAAAAATAAACAGATAATTACTTTTCGATATAACTCTCTTTTCGGCAGAAACGCTGTTAATATTTTCACGATCTCAAGAGTTTCAACTTAAATAAATTGACTAACGTTCAGAGTAGAACTTGTTGCGTACAATTGTTTGATACGTACCGTATATCACACAGACAAGATTGTACAAAACATAAGTTTCTTAGACAACTGTTACAATATCACTACATAAAAAAACAAAACAATTACTACACAATCATTTTATTTACACGATACAAACACACATTGTAAAAAATATATAAATTTTATATAAAAATATAAACATATATTCTTGTAGAATGACATATTGGGTATTGGTAGCCCACTAGTCGTTAAGAAACAAAACAAAATAAATATTTGTTCTAAGAAAGTCTTCACTAGTCGTCTCAATGGTTATTACCTACCTACTCGTTTTTACAAAATTTGAATATGGCTTATCTGAACAGCGCCGTTATGCAACTTTGGTTCTTTGTATGTCGCCACGCACGTTTTTCCGACAAGATTACTTTCCGTGCGAGCAGAACAATTCGTACGACAGAAATTCGCAAATTCTTTAAATTTTACTTGCAATTCTACGTTGCCACCGTTAGGACCGATCGAGAATTCGCATTTTAACAAATTTTGTCTACCCTTTATACAACATTCCAAATATCTGTAATCCGTCGTGTACAACTCACTGATGTTTTGGATTTTAATATTTAGAGCTTGTCTCAGGATGCCGGTAACAAACACGTCGTCTATCCAAAAATATTCTGGGGAAGAGTCAGCGCGATTGATCAGTCGACTCGCCACTGACGGATCAGTAATGTATAGCCAACCGGAGACGAAATCGGGATAAACATTACCCGCGTACTCCGTCTTACTTACATACCATTTATTAGCTGGTTCTCGTACGGGAATCATGTTCTTCAGAATGTAACCAGTTAAGGAATTCTTTTCTGTTATACCTGAACGTATCTTTTCCACTATCTCATAGAGATTAACAACTATATCGTCGTCCATTTTCATGATGTATCTAACATATTTGCAGTTTTCAGTCGCCCACCGAAGACCCATCAGATGCTTAAGAGTCAAATTTCTATAAGTGTCCTGAAAGTCTCCCTGAAGTACGTCGCCGAATCTTCGTGACTCGTCCGCTAAGGCAGCCTGTGACACACGTGTTCTTCTTTCAGCATCGCTGTTTAACGTGCCGAGTAAAAATATTCTTCTAATTCCTAGAGCTTGCAATTCCTCATCTGCGTACGCTCGGCGCAAAGCGCTTCTGGCTGAAGGATCGCCTGCGTAAGACGTAACAATCCATGTCAAGAAGGTAGAATTGCATGATTCTGGTTCGCTTATGATTCTGACATCTCCTGATGATCTGCTAGGTATCTCGTGTGTGACCTGAAGAGGCACCAGATACGCTTTTGGAACCTGTGACGACAAGCTTCTTCCCGCAAATGTAAGAAATAGTAAAACACACGCTATACAAGCGAAAAGCAATAAAAATCCAAGCTTGGAGAGCATTATTTGCCTGGCCAAAGTATCTGCGTAATCATAATCAATAATAAAACAACGAAAACTCAGAGTGGTAATTTGTAAAATTGTAGGTCTCTACGTTGAAACATATGTGAGATGCGGTGCTTCTTTCTCGTGTCATGTTCTTTCTTCATCCTCAAGTTGTCGCTACGACGATGATCGATTTTCTTTTATCGTACATGGGAGAAAAAATGTTCGTTAATAGTAATAATAATCTTTCTCGTACTGGATTTTTACATATTGAGATGACGAACACATACCTGACAACACACACAACACAAACATATATTAGAATCAAATAGTTTCTTCTTCATTTTTCTGTTTTAATTGAGCTATTAATAAGCGGAAGACATTTACAAATTGTTGAAAATTAAAAGATTAAAAGAAATTCAAAACAGTTTTCAAAGTTTTCATTAGTATTGCGTCAAAATGCAACACAAAGCAACTTACAAAGCACACAGATTCCGAGCGAGAAAACAAGTCTTGCACATGCGCAATAACGTAAGCGTTAGCAGACGCCGAAAAGACTCTCTCTTTTTGTCGAATAAAATTATTAAATTAATTCTTTATTAATTATTAAAATTATTAAAAAATAATATGCTAGTTTTTCTATTTGTTTGTTTTTTTTCTAAATCTCTGTTCGTCGTTTTATTGTTGCTAATACATACCACTGCAAAGATAGAATAATAATATTATAGAAAGTGTTGAAATTTCTTTTTTTTTCTATAAAAGAAAAAAAAATATCAAAAATTAAATCTGCAGCAGCTGAGAATAAAATTACGTATCTGAATCTGTACACAAATATTTAAATATAATTATTGATTTCTCTTAAACTATATTTTTTGCAAGAACTCTTTTTGAAAAATGTGACATAGAATACATGTATATATTACCATACCCGAATTACAGATGATTAATATGCGTGTGTAATTATGCAAAAACTATATATAGAGGAAAAGTGTTGAGTGTGTAAAGAGTAGGTATTTAAGAAGGAACCGAAAGCGCTGGTTCACACACACGAGTAGTCTCGCTTGAACCACAGACAAGAAACGTTTCTCTGCAGGTAAGATAAAAAGTTCAATAATTTTGAGAAAGAAATCTCTCTTGTCGTTAACTCTTTTTCACTTGCAAATTCATTCGCATAAATAATTCTCTTTGTTACATATGAGTAACTCTATTTTATCACAATTGTTATATAACATACAGCATGCACAAATTTTTAACAAATTTACAATTTAGTAAATTTAATTTTTAATAAACGTTCAATTTAAGACTTAATGAATTTATTATTTACTATGTATTTTTTCTTGTAACACAAATTAAGAGAGATTTACTTGCATGGTGTTTACACGGTGTACACTTTTGTATTTTTTAAAAACTACAAAAAAAGTAACGCGGTTACGCGATTTGTATTTTTTTAATAAACTTGAAATATAAAATACATAAAACGCGCGTGTCAAGATACTCGTAGTGATTGAAACAGAAGAGAAATTCGCGTGTCAAAATACTCGTAACATAATGTATTAAATCAGTCGCTCATGTGTGATTGAAACAGAAAGAGAAATTCGAAAGTGACAACAACAAGAATATCTTGTGTGTGTGTGTTCCCCCAGGAAATAAAAACCTGTTAAAACCAAACACCGATTACGCAATTAGTCATATGGGATGATGTGATATGCGAATAATGTGCCGATTCTTCCGTAAAACTTTCTCTCGTAAGAGACCTGTACCGCGAGTGTTTCACTTTCTTCCTTATTGCGCTTATCCGTTTGCGTGGACGCATTTGCGAACATCTAATTGCAAATAAATGTGATAAAAATAACTGTTCCGACGAACTAATGTATAAGAGTTTATAGATATGATAATATACAATAGAGTTTGCACGTGTTCTGAAATTTATACACACAGTTTTTAACGATTACAAATTTACTTCTAATTGTTGAATTAACAAAAAACACATTTATATATTATTTGTTATTTTTATCCTCGTGTATTCTCTTATACATATATAATAAATATTTTTTTTACTATGTTCTAGAATTGAATGTTTGTTATAATGTTCGTCACAACACTGTTGCTGATATTGATATCGCTGTTGCTATATATGGGTTGCCGTAAACCGAAAGGATACCCGCCAGGTAGATGATCTAATTTCTCCAAAGGAATTTTTCACGCTTGTATCTCACGCTCATCTTTCGCAGGTCCGGGATGGTGGCCCGTTTTAGGCAGTTTGCTAGAAGTGAAACGCATCCGCGAAGAAACGGGTAATTTGGTTGAGACTTTTTCAACGCTGAGTAAGAAATACGGTTCTGTTGTGGGATTGAAAATCGGCAACGATCGCATCGTTATTTTAAACGATTTGAACAGTATGAAGGCGATGCTGATGAACGAGGACTGCGAGGGCAGACCAAACGGGCCAATTTTCAAAATCAGAACTTGGGGTCTTAGGAGAGGTATATTTACCTACAAAAAAATAGCAGATTATAGAAAATATACTTTGCTGATATTGAAAAATACTTAAATATAATATATCTTGCTGTGCAGGTTTACTACTTGTAGACGAACAGTTCTGGATAGAGCAACGGCGATTTGTTCTTCGCCATCTAAAGGAATTTGGGTTTGGTCGAGCCAACATGACTACGATAATCGAAAACGAGGCGCTTAAACTGGTGCAACATTTCAAGAAAATGCTGGAGAACAGTCGCAATTACGACAGTAAAAAATCTGTAACTTTAATCAGCGAAAACTACAACAACCGAATATACGAATTGCGACAGAACTCGAAGAACAAGCTGATGATGAACAAGTCGCGCGACAAGTTCGACGTGAACGAGAATGAGATTTCCGATCGTAAGCCTCGGGCCGTGTCGGACCTCTATGTGAAGTTTAATGACTACGAGACGGCCGAGAGAGTTTCTCGTTCAGACGAAATGATCGTACGTATGGACGACGCTTTCGGAGTAACCGTATTGAGCACTTTGTGGAATATGATGGCCGGCAGAAGGTACGCATTTGAATTTTTCTTTCGCGAAATGAAGTCGGAAACAACTTAAACACGAGATTTAAAAAAAAGTTCAATTATAAATTCGATTAAATAACTCGTATCTTTCGCAGCTTCGATCCCGTCGACAAAGAACTCACCCATCTGCAGCGAATTCTAGGAAAGCTCCTGGGAGAGATCGACATGATCGGCGCGCCCTTCAGTCACTTCCCGATCTTGCGTTTTATCGCCCCGGAAATATCAGGCTACAACAAATTTGTCAAAATTCATGAGGAACTGTGGACTTTCTTAAATAAAGAAATATGCAATCATAAAAAAACATTCGTACCGAACGCACCGCGAGATATGATGGACGTCTATCTCGCTATGTTGAATTCTGATGAATGTAGCGATACGTTCTCAGGTAGAAAGAAGCGTACAGATGAGATGTGCAAAAAAAAGCAGAAATATATACTGAGTGATTTTATTTATACGTGCTGAAACAAATTTTTCAGAATCCCAGCTGTTGGCAATCTGCATCGATTTCTTCATGGCGGGTTCGGAGACAACTTCAAAAACGCTCGGTTTCGGATTCCTGGGTCTGATGTTGCATCCGGAAGTTCAAAAGAAGGCGCACGAGGAAATAGACAGAGTTCTCGGCAACGACAAATTTCCTACATTAGCCGACAGAACGCAAATGCCGTACATGCAAGCTATCGTGTTGGAGGCCTTGAGAGTCTTTGCAGCTCACACGCTTGCTATTCCCCACAGATCATTAAGAAATACACGTGTCTTGGGATATGAAATACCGAAGGTATTTAAAATAAAACATAAGGATCTCTAACATTTTGTGAGTAATGAGAGAGCGAACAAATAATTTAATTATTTCTTTCAGGACACGATGCTTATTGTTAATTTCAACGGAGTGCTCATGGACGACTCATGGAACGATCCGTATAACTTTCGCCCGGAAAGATTTCTCGACAACGACAACAACATCGTTACGCCTGAAAAATTTTTTCCTTTTGGCATTGGTACGTCTTTTCCCATCGTTATTGTAAAAACAACAATAACATAATAACAATTACAAACGTAACTCTGAATTAAACAAAAATCGATGTTCGCAGGTCGGAGGCGATGTATAGGAGAGATTTTGTCGCGAAGTAATATTTTTCTCATAATGGTTGCGTTGCTGCAAACATTTAGCTTCTCCGTGGTTCCTGGTGAACCACGACCGTCCTTACACGACGTCACAGACGGCGTCACATCTGGTCCGAAACCTTACAAAGCATTAGTTACCTTAAGAAAACAATTTTTATTTAAATAATTTGTATTATGCGTGATTAGAAAAATTAATTGTTAATATACACTTTTTAAAGAGTATATACTTTCCTTCTATTATATATATATATATATATATATAATAATAATAATAATAATTTATTGTCAAATTAATACACACTCATACCTTAATAAAATTACGAAGCAGTACCGTATTACAAAAGTCGAACTTTCGCGCTTATGTTCAGACAATTATGCGCGCAATGTTCTTCCGTTTTATATGGCCATAGATATATAAAATAATCAAGTGAAGTTTATAAGATTGCCTTAAGATAGCGTGACCAATGGGGCCGCGTTCAGCAGATCAATTGCTGAGTCATCGTTTTGTTAACACTCGACGTTGATTCGTCGATTAGTTGTCCCTAAAAATTAAAAGAACCAATCGTGTTCGATTGACACAGACTCGCTTGTTCTGCCGAACGCAGCCAATCAGGCTCAGTGCAGCACTTTCGGATCACCTTGAGATGATCTTGAAATATACTAATCGGACTGTGAATATCGGTTCGAAGTAACGATATGTTGTCATTATAAATATTTACTTATTTTTCGAGCGCGTTCGCAAAACAATCGAGACGATTGGACCGATTGAAAATGGCGACGAGGACCGTCGCGTTTGACGTTGGCGCCGCCTGGCGGCGCGTTGCCAACATTTGCCGCGACGACGAAGTTTCTCGCGCGCGTCTCATCGGCGATGCGTCTCGGCGATGGTGGCGGCGCAGTGACGGCAGAGGTCGACTCGTCGGCGCCTGTTCTTCTTTCCGGTTCACCCCTTTCCCGTCTGTCTTTCTTTCGATCATCGTCAACGCGGGGGTTTCACGGCGCCTCTGCCTCGGACAAACGTGCCCCGATCATCACACGGACCAGCACCCACCTGATATCTCCCATCCGGATGCGGCGCGCCGTTCGTGTCGGGTGTATCGCGATCGCGCCTGAACTGCGTTACGCACGGGGACACGTACTCGCCGGTGCTTACGAGGGACGAGGGCACCGTCGCCACCACTACCATCGCGTGGGCCAGCTCCGATCGACGGTCAGCTGGTCGCTTCAAGAATCGTCTTAAATGACAGTCGGCGCTCGCCGGTGATCTGAGAAGGATGTGCGTTATTTTTCGTTGCCGGCGATCGCGTCGTTATGGCCTATAAGTGCGAGCGACACCATAACTTTTCTCTCAAGGTATAAATTTTGTTAATTCCGTTCCCGAAAGAGGGATCTCTGTGTGTGTGTGTGTGTGTGTGTATGTGTGTTGCGTGCGTGCGTGCGTGAATTTTCAAGATTCAGAATTTACATTGTCGCGTATCACGTTCCGTCGGTGATAGAAAAAAAAAAAGAAAGAAAAAAAAACGACCGTTTGTCTTCGCCAAGAGGTTATAGAGGAGCTTACATGATATTTTATACGTCGCTCTTCTCGCGTTACAAAGCAACAACAACAACAGTGCCTAAACAACAAGTTTGCAAGTTCCGATATTAATATTTTTTGCGGTTTGAGATTTTATTTTCAACGTCGCGCGAGAATTCGGTTTGTCGGCGGTTGTGTTGTTTCTCTCGCCGAGGCCGGTCGATCGATATCGCGCCTTCGGTGACTGAAAACTGTCGGAAAAGAAACAAAACAAGGAAAAACACGGAAAATCACGTATTCGAACGGAACGCGCTTCCGTTCCGATGAATTTTCGTTGTTCGCGCGCCAACTAGTAGCAAAGTAGCAGAAAAACGCGAGAGAGAGAGAGAGAGAGAGAATTGTACGCGTTTGTGTGGAAAACTCTTTCGGTCGATAAGAGTTCGCCTAAAAATCCGTGAAAAAAAAAACAAAAAAAAAATATCAAAAACAACAAGAGGGTGGGGGGGGGGAGGCAGGCGTCTTGATGACACTTGTCGTCATTTTTCCGCACACGTTCGCGCGTTTATGTACAAAACCTATTAACAAAACCTAACCTACCTACGCGATATTCGTGATGCGTGTCGTGTCGAGCGTGAGCAGCAGCGCGAGTGCGAGAAACGATGGCGATCGACCTGGAGGCTATTACGAGGCGATCGGTACGTAATTCCACGGTGAGAGATCCCGCGGTAAGATAACACGAAGCCGAACGAATAAAAAAAACTTTCCACCCACCCGTCGCAACTCGGAAAGAAACGAAGCCGGTTTTTTTTTTTATGAGTTATCCAAAGCAGAGCAAGAGGACGGATTGGGAAAAGAGGATTTGTGTTTCTGAAAATTGATGACCGTTACCCCGGAGGATTCGTGGATACCGCGTGGTCGTTCTCTCAGATTGAAGGTAAATCATTCGCAACTTGCGCACTAAAATCTTTATTCTCTCTCTCTCTCTCTCTCTCTCTCTCGTTGTCTCTGTCTCTATCTCTCTCTCTTGTTGAAACTCCGTTTCTCTTCCGGCAGTCACAACAGTCGGCTATTATTAACCGCCGTTGATTCCGTTTCACGTTATCGATCATCCGCTTAATTATCGCGCGCACACGTGACCGACCAGAAGTAGATTGTGTGTGTATATATGTGCTCGAATGTGTGCTAAAGCTTTTATATATTTTTATATCGTCAGAGATATATACATATTCAATCAAAAGATATACATATTCATAATCGTCGTTGAGACAAATTGTCGCTTCACATTATTCGATCGCGCGCTCTCTTTTAGGCACGTAAGAAACAACAACGTACGTGTGATCTCACCCAAACGTGCAATCAATCAAACACTCGAGGATAACATTGTTATTCGCCGTCATTGGTCAAAAAGCCGAAAACGTCAACACACGTTGTTGTGTGTGACACAGCGAGCGATCGCGATATTATTGCATAATAATAATATATCGCGATTAATACAGAAAACCAGGTGTGCTCATCGCGTTGCGCACCCTGAGCGTGTGTCCCCGGGAACACCGCGACGGACGGAGCGTCGTTGCGCCGCGCGCGCCCGTGCCATCCACAGCTCTCTATTCGAACTTGTTTTATTGGAAACACGTGGTGCGAAAATGCCGCATCGAGCGGCATCATTCCGGACGCGAGCCGTAATCGTTCTCTATCTGTTTCTCTCTCTCTCTCTCTTTCTGCGATTGCATTTAACGATAATGGCGCGGTAGCGTAGCAGTAACACGTAAACCGCGATAACAGATACAAACTGTCTGCGCGTATAAGTGATACAAGACAGTCGTTGCACATTTTATTGCACGCCAGACTTTTGCATCCAGCAGTCAATTTTCTCTCAACCCGTATATAATTGCTCGTCGACGAACGATTTCTTGCTTTTTTCACCTTCCCTCCTCCCTTTCCTTCCCTTCCCCCCATTAAAGTGTCTGACGTGTTAATGGACGAGATTACTCTTTCAGAAAAGTCTCTCACGAGAGATCGATCGATTGTCAAAATGTTGCAGATAGATGTGTGTGAGTCACGGTGATAAATATAACAAGAAATTTATTGCGGGAGTTTCACGTTGAACAAGTTTGTGTGACAACAACGGCGGCGAGGCGAAAAAAAATATCGACTAATTAATTGCCGTTGTGTGCGAGAAAGGAGCGGCACGAGAAGTTTGAAAACAAAAAAACAAAAAAAAAAAAAAACAAGGAGTGTCGAGTCATCGGTCGCACGCGCGCGATCTGTTATGGAGGTGTTGAAAAATCGGTAAACACATAAAAAAAAAACAAGAAAACAAGATTTACCCCGCGCATTCGAATTTTATTGCTTGCGCGCAAGAATCAATCAATTTCTTATTTTTCGCGCGAGAATTTGTTGAGGATTGTCGATTCGAATCTCTCTTGTTGTAAACGCGATCGTCGGCGTTTCACAGCGTGAGAACCGTCGGGACTGCGCGCTTTGAGTCGCCGCGCGGCAGACAACGTGGCGGCGACTCGTCGTCTCGTCGTCATCGCGTTGTTTTCTCGATAATGTTCCTCATCTGTGGAAACTTTTGGCAACGTCGACACGCCAACTCGTGAAATTCACCGACAAACGTTTCTTTAATAGCGTTCGCTTTACACACACACACACACACACACATACCTCACCCACGTTGATATTTTATTCCGTCTCGCGAGTTGCGAACTTACTCGCGTTTGTTGTTGCAGCGAGAATACAATTTGTTTAAACGGACTCTCTATCCGCGCACGCAATTGTCAATAATGTATATACGTGTGCGCGTCGTATAACGTACGTGAGAACAAATCGAAAACTTTTATTTTCAATCTCGTCGCGCGTTACGGACTAGAAATAGTCCTGTTTGTTTCGTTATTTATTTCTTCCCGCGACGACGAGTTACAAAAGCCGCGATCTTGATGAGCGTCTCGATTCGCGCGGGAGATTCTTCCGCTCTCTCTCTCTCTCTCTCTCTCTCTCTTTCTCTCTGTCTCTCATTTTACTCACTTGGACGATAATTGATATCGAGCACGTGCTTAGCAGCGCGCGTGACGCGCGCCATCGAGCCAAGATGTGTCGTGTTCCCCATCGGCGCTCGGATGATCCCGCTGCTCCTCGCGCGATTCGCAAAACTGTCATTATAAAAATAGGGTTCACCGAGTCTCGGAGCGCACACGCGATAAAACTTAAAACTCGCCGATTTACGTCGTATTTATACGACGAGGTTTTTCACATCGCGTGCGAACTTCCTCTTTCCTATTTGCTCGATCGAATCGGTCGTCTTTCACATGTATCTCCGCCCCATTCCGTTTATATGCTCGATTAGATAAATGGCGATGGCGAAAAAAATATTACGGTTTGATTTTATGTAACGTCTTATCGCTGAAAAAACCGTGCGACCGTGAAAAATACATCATCAAAGTCTATTCATACTTTGTTTTAGTAGGTCACGAGAGACGAAAAGACGACACACGAGACTGTATAATTTATATAGTTTATATGCAGAGGTATACGGTACACAGAGAGAGAGAGAGAGAGATGCCCCCTCGCGACAACCGTTTACTCTCTGCGGCAGCTTCCTTCGCTCTCAGCGGCTTTCGCAATCGCGAACGAAAACAGCGAGCGCCAAAGAGAATTACCTACTTTTTTGTCCCGCTTTGTAAATCCAACCGCGATGGAAAATTGTTTTTCTTCAAACATTACTTCGCGACATTTTTAAACAACGAAGAAGTAATTTCGCGCGAAGAATCGATCATCGATGTACCTTTTGTTTTTTTTTTTTTTTTGGACTCGTCAAGTTGCAGCTAAGATCTGAAAAATTCCGAAATTGTGATGCAGAATTTATTATCCATCTCTCTCTCTCTCTCTCTTTCTCTCTCTCTTTCTCTCTCTCGTTCTCGCGGGACTAACATTGAGTCATTAACAAAATTTATTAATTAAATAAATCCAATTACGTAAGCCGAGGTGTGTGCGAGAGTGGATTGTGCGATTAACTCACGAGGTGTATAGAGTTCAACGCGCGTGACGACGGTGGGCGTCGGCCTTGAATCAGCTGTTTGTGTGTGTTTTTTTTTTTTTTAAAGCACCGAGACGCGAATATTAATACACACCTACGTACCGCCGTGGTTTTTCCGCAAAAGAAATGGATTTTCGCGTTATGTGCGCGCGAACGCTTCGAAAACTTGATGTAACATTCGCGAGAGTTGCCGCAGATTATTGTCATATTCGAAAACAACCTGTTGCAATCGCAAGTTTGATAAAAAAAAAATAAAAAAAATATCATCTCGCATTATAACAAGGTTGAGAAACAAGGTTGGTTTTCGTGTAAAATCTCTTGCTTCGCGTAAAAACGGTGCGAAACGCAACTCTCTCTCTCTCTCTCTCTCTCTCTCTCTCTCGTTTAGTTCAAGTGAGAGACTTGACGAGAGAGATTTTTAAATTTTCTGTCTGTGAGAGATACACGCGCACTTGAAAAAAAAAAAAGTCTATATATCTCGTACACGTATAAAGGCGCTTTTGTTTCCAGAGTCAACTCGAGCCGCCGTTCGTGCACGCGTTCGGGGGGATCGTCACATGTTTTCTCTACGCGCTCTCTCAGGCTGCTTCGGATCGGTCCACAAGCCGAATAATATCGCGTTTTGCGTCACGCGCTAGCACGCGATAAACAAGCATTCGCTTTGCTTGTGCACGATGAAGAGCTTGGCATCGGGCCAAAGATTTCCTTCAAATCTCGTCGCCTCGCTGATTCTCCTCTCCTCGTTCCTTTGCGAATCTTGACGTCTATGACATCTGCCGCTTCGTGCGTGATTCATGTTCGAGACGCGTGCGATATCCAACTACGTTTTTTTTTTTTTGTTTTTTTTTTTACGCAGTCCAATTACTAGCGGGCGTCAGCTTTAATCGGTCCGTTGATTTTCCACCGTACGAGTTCTGCGCGGATCGTTGAAAAAAAAACTGGCGAAAGAAAATTGCACAGAAAACGAACGTATGTGCCGAGATAGGCGCGCGGTACGTGTCGCTGGCGCAATGCGGTAAGTGGCGAGTACGCGCTCTATTTCGCGAGCGTCGAATCGCGCCTTGACTACAGTGTCACTTTATTAGTTATAACGTTCCGCCACGTATGCCGTACACATTAACGCGCGGCGTATGTATGTAATATGTGTGTATGTACGTGTGTATGCGTGTATATGTATATATGTACACAGTGAATATGCACTACGAGAGGCGAGAGAGCGCAAAACCAAAGAGGATTCCGAACCAATCCGAACTGATTCTTGCGTGCAAAAGCGATGAATCGTCTTCTTTTTCAGCTTCATCGATGGAGAGTTCCGCTAACATGAAGCAGAACGAATCGGACGAGTGTGACGTAAACGGGGACAATAAGAAGGGGGACGAGGACTCGACGGGTCAGAGGGACGTCGATCGGAAGATGAAGGCGGAGGACAAGCGCGAATCGTTGGAGAATATGAAGAACGAGATGAAAATGTTGAAGAAAACTCTGTCGGCCGACGAAGAGGAGATCGACGAGGAGGACGAGAAGAGCAAGGAATCTGCCGACGAGGAGGAGCGCAAGGAAGCAACGAGCAACGAGAAGAAAGAGCAGGAATCGTCGAGCGACACCACGTCCACCAGTACTTCCGACGATGAGTCTGAAACCAGTTCGGATGATAAGCCAGAGACGGAGACGACCAAGACGCCACAGCCGGAAACGACGAAGGAGGAGTCCGCGAAGGAGCCGAAAAACGAGGACACCACGGACGACAGTGACATAGAGGATGATCTGGTCTCGGCGATCAATTATAACACCATCACCTCTCTGGCCGCGCTCAAAGACATGCTGCAGTCATCCGGCGAGGATTCCGACGGTGTTGACAGTTTCTTTCACCATTACTTTCTGTCTCATGTTAACCGCCTGCCTTCACGAAATCAGACACACAGTCCGTATCCTTGGGGCAGAAGATTATCGGAGTGTCGGGAGGAGGATGAATACGAGACAGAGGAAGGTGAGAATATATATATATATATATATATTAAAAAAAAAAAAACGCTTTTTTTTCGTGCTTAATCGTGGCTAATTCCGCGAAACAATTACTAGAAAAGAGCGAGCGGTTACGAAATATAAACTGTTACGAGGAACTCATCCACGAAGTGCTAAGATTAGCTAGCGTGCTCGCGTTTGGCAAGACGAAAGGCACGGCGGTGCGAAAAGTCACTCTACTTAGGTAACGATCGCTTAAGTGTATTTATAACGCGTCTCTCTCTCTTTCTCTCTCTCTCTCTTTTTCTCTTTCTCTGAATCATGAAGTTTTGACGCTTTACAAGAACACGATGAGTCTCAATGGAGTGACAAAATAGAGTTTCTTTCTTTGTTCTTTTCTTTGTGCGCTACAACAATCGAAACAATTAAACTCGAACTTGTAGTTATAAACCTAATAAATTATGAACCTAAAAAACTTGTAATTATGAACCTCTTCGGTTCATAATTTAATAGCTGGCAACTGGCTTTTCTTTACACCGCAAAGTGTATATTTTTCCGATGATCCGACTGAGCTTACAGGCGTGCCTATGTGTCATTTCTCGACCTTGGAACTCCATACGCGTGAATCGAATAAAACTCGCTTGGCGTTACGTGACATTCAGATCGCGATACTGTCATTTTTTTTCAGGGAAAAACACCGACATTCCGATCGTCGATATCAAGAAGGACGCGTCCAAGGGTGAAAAGGCCGATAGTGTTTCGTCCAAGACGTCAAAGGCGTCGAGTCCGTCGTCCTCGGAGAGTTCCAGTTCGGAGAAGATCGACGAGAAGTCTTTTCCGACGTCCAGCGTCTCCGAAGCTAAACCGTCGTCACCGTTGCTGACGACAACAACGTCGACAACAAGTAGCACAACTTCAATTGCAACGGCGACAACGACGACAACGATGACGACGACGACAACAACGACGATGACGATGACGACGACGACGACGACGACGGTCGCGACCACGGTTTCCGGTAGATTTACCACGTCAACTGTGACATCACCGACCTCGGCGACCAAGCCTCCTCTCCGGAGAAGACACACGACCGGTCCGGGCATGACTTTCCCCGCTACGGATCCTCCGTCGTATTCCACCAGCATGACTTTCTCGAGAACCAGCCCGTTGCCCAGCCCGCATCTCGACAAGAGGTTCTTCGACAGCAGCTTGATCGAGATGAAGAGTCAAGCAAGTAGCACCAGCACCCTCGATTACGACTCCACCGAGGAGGTGTGGATACGCAGAATGGATTTTGTACAGGAAAGAAAGCGACGGGTGAGTGTATGTGCGCTGTTATCTCTGTCTCGTGTGTCGAGAGCTCGCATGATAATTGATAAAAATAAGATATCGCTCTTACAAATATACTTTTTTTTTTTTTTTATTATCTTTTATATTTAGTATAATTTTTTACACACACATTATATATATATATATACGTTAATTCTACGCACGTAATTTTTTTTTACGTGCTAACAATTGTGTATAAAAAAACTTACATCGTGTTTTTTTTTATTATTCGTTAAGAGCTGGGCGATTACTCTTTTCTTTCGGATAGGATATTAGTTTTCTTTGCTTAATCGGACGTAATGTTTTTTTCGTGCGTCATCCCCTCAAAGATTGAAGACCTAATGGTATGTCCATTTATTATACGTAGCTGCGCCCCGCCGGCGTCACCGTCAGCGTCGGTGTCCCGTTCGCTCTGTCTATAATTGCGCCAATTAACCAATTGCCGCGGGGAAAAAAAAGTACTCCCGCAAATTTGTTTACAGCGACATTCACTGTTTTTTTCTTTTTTTTTTTTTCCCCGGACTGTTACAGTGTCGTGTCGTTCGCTCTTTATTCATTCATTTGTATTTTTATTTGCGTTAAGGATTTTTATTTGTTTTTAAAAATGTGCGACGAGACACAGAACTAACACGCGATTGTCAATTTTCTCACATTTGTGCAGATAACGGACAAATAAGAATAGAAACGTTTGCAAATGTCGTCGTATCGTTTGCCCTAGATCTCGGTGTAGCTTTAACGTCTCGCGGAAAGGGTGAGGCGAAATGGTACAAGGCTTCCTTTAAGCTCTATCGATCTTCATTCGAGAGGGAAGTTACGTTAAGGAGGTCTTTTATGACAGATATTTTGACGTGTTTGTTGTGTACTTACCGTGTAGTGTCTAACGATGACGTACAAAATAGCGGATAAATAATCGAATTAGACAGGAATTAGAAAACGTTTTCGTAATTAAAAAGTTCGAACGATAATATTCCCTGTAGATTTCAAAACTTGTTGAGCATTCCGTTACTTCGAACACATTGCCAGGTTTGCGTCAGATTTTAAAAAGAAAGCGCGTGACATTTAACGCAATGATTTTGAGTTATATATATATATATTTTTTTTTTTTTTATATTTAACTCGCGTCGCCGATGCAAAAACTACAGAGATCTGCTTATCATCTGTTGTTAATTTTGTATCGTACAAACTTGGGCGTTGTATCGCACGTTTTGCACCGTGTCGATGACTAAAGTATCGTCGCAAAGTGATTTCTCGGCAAAACTACCGATAAAAAAGTTTTAACAATTTGAAGCGAAAAAAGTTCACGTATACACTCGAAAAAGTTTTACACGTAAGAAAGAAAGCCAATGTTACGATAAAATTGGACGACGAAAACAAACATTGGCACAGGTAGATGAAAGGGTGTTATCTCGACATGGCGGGTGATAACGTCGTTATGACAATTGAATTCAAGAAGTACAATCGTTATCGAAGTGTCATCGCCAGTAATCGAATAGACGCGAACAATTCCGTCGCAGATAGTTATAATCCACACTGCTTGTTAAGTTTTTATTGTGCACACGTGTTGGTCTTCGTGTCACGAACGAAGCTGCTCCGTGAGTTCGGATTGTATCAATAAATTGGTGGTTTTTTTTTTTTATATATTTATGTGTGAGATCCGTGCGTGTTAATCAATGTGTAAGTGTGTGACGGGTGTTCGCGCACAATTAGTTTGTCTAATTATTGCTATTGAAGCGTTTATTGCGACATTCTCTACTACACATAGAAATAAAATGATCTCGTGACACTTCATCGCGCCGGATTGTTACGAAAGAGTGAGGATGGAAAGGGAATTTAACAATCTGGTTACATCCGATCCCGAAATTTTACTTCAGTAAGAAAAAGAAAGCGCAAGAGAGAGAGAGAGAGAGAGAAAGAAAGAGAAAGAAGTTCGAACGTACTTTTAGAAATTGCGAAAGATTATCTGAATTACTGCGGTCTCGGAGACGCGATAAAAAAAAAAAAAAAAAGAAAACGATATTACCGAAGTATTACTGAAATGAGCGATGACCACTGTCCTCGAAGAAAAAAATCGTTATCAATAACAAGTGGTGAAAAGATAGTGACGACGATATACCGGCTATATTCAACCGTAAGAATGCTCGTTCTCATAGTGATATGAATATCTGAGAAACGCCGTTCTTCTTTCGAACCACGAGAAAAGATGTCGGCGTCTCTTGGGAGAGTACGAAAGTACTCCCTGGTACCGTATCTAGATCGTTGCCCGGAGTATCACGGAACTTACAAGGTATCTTTTTTTTTTTTTTTCGTTTCGCAATTAATTAACGGCTTATCGATGATGATAACGAGCAGTTTTTTTGTTGCGAAGTAAAAAAATGCCGAATGTTGACTGTAGCTTGCGAACGAATGTTGTGAACACATTCGAACTGTGTGCGATTTATATAATTTATTGATAAACACCACTTTTGTTTAATCGAGCTGAATAATCGAGCAACGTTTAGATCCCGTTTGCAAATGCGGAAATAGTTTAAGGATTACGAACAAAGTGGAACGATCTCGCTTTTTGTTGGATATTTTCCAATTAGAATCTTCTGTTGGAAGAATTCCAAAACTTTATTCATTGTATTACGTAATAGAAGTGTGATCGGGCACGATTATGTGCGGGTGTATATATATGTATATATATATATATTTTTTTTTTTTTTTTTAATCAATACAAAATTGCGAGAAGGAATAGTTCGCATTGCAATTGCCGAGCTTCGAGAATCTTACGTAAATAGAAGATTGTCCGTAAATGTAATCTTGCTATCAGCCGGATTAAACAATGATATCTAATCACTGTCTTTGCGTTATCCTTGTCTCACTGTGTATAGTTTATAATTTGCAGTTCTTTTTTCTTTAAGAACTTTTTTTTTTTTTTAGGTGAAAATTATTCAAAGTAAAACATATGTTTGGATGTATTTGAAATAATTTGTAATAATTATAAGAATTTATATATGTTATATAGAATTAATATTTATATTAATATTTATATATTTGTATAATTTATATACATAGACTCGAAATATAGACCGAATGCAAACGATGTCAACGATGAATGTCGCGTCTTCGCGACGACTGATGTAGGTAGATACGATACGACGATCGACGTCGAAAACGCCAATCGTCGCGATGCAACGCGACAAAGTACGATCGACAAAAAATAAATTAAGTGAAACTGTTGCAAAACAAAAAGAAATGAACCAACGACGCATTTCAACGTCGTACGTGAAGCGTAGGAGTTGCGTTTCGAAGCGTCGCGAGCTCTTTACCTCTCAACATTCGGTCTAGTTTTATATGTCTATGTTTATATATTGACGATAATCACATGGTTTTGAACGAAAGTGCTGTCTTTCTTTCAAGGAACTTGGTTCGCAACCTCTTCCAACAATCGTGACTGAGGACGCGGATAATTCCAGTCATGTCTCTCAAGGTCACAGGCCACGAGCAGGTAAGTTGATAATCAGAAGTTGCTTATGTAGTTATGTTTTTCTCCTCTTCCAAGAACACAATAACCATATTTTTAAAAAGAAATTATTATTTAATTGTTATTACAGTAAATTAAATAATACGCGATATATTTATTCACAAAACATTTATTTATTTAAATCATTTTTATTGGACTTACAGACACATGGGGATCACATTCTAAGACAATTAGAAAACCGTCTTACGGAAGTGCACCCAGTTCTGGAAAATCAACGCCTCTTCCACAACCAACGGAAGCGTCCAGCTCGTCGAGTTCCGGCAAGGGTGGTCGGAAGACTTCCGGGACTCGGTCCGGTTCCAACAGTCGTAGTAATAGTCGCAGTAACAGCGCGGAACGTAGAAGAAGCGGTGGTGCTACAGATGACACCGCTAGTCCTACGAGAAAGCCGGCGCTTTTCGACGCTTTCAGACCGAGAAGCAAATCGGACGCCAGCAAGAGAAAACCCAGTATTATAGCTAATATGAAAAGTGCTGTTCAGGTGATTATATATATGTACATATATATAAATGTAATATACATACATATGTATGCGTTTCATTGTATGTGTGTATTATATACGTATCGTGTCGTTGTGTTTAGCATTCCTTGCACAGAGGATCGCACGGAAGCTCTTCAGTGGATGTACATACGGAGAAGGAGCATTATAGAGATAACCAAAGAGAACAAAAAGAAAACAAAGAGCAAACTGGTCGACCCCGGGCTGGATCCGAGAGTAGCAGAAATCCTGTGAGCAAAGTCATGGATCTCATCAGGCACAGGAGCCATAGTGCCTTGAGTGCGGAAGACAAGCGGAAAGCGGTGAGTAATTTTATATTGATGTGTTTATCGATAGCGCGTGTAATCGTATTCACGACTATTTAACATATCGACGACGCCAAAAAAGAAAAGGATCTAAAACTGTAGATATGCACAGATATGATGTGGTAATGTGGAAAGTTGAGAAATCTGCCTTGGTGACAGTTACGTAGATAGGTCTTTCTTATCATCACTACACGCGCATAGATCGTAGGCAAGAGCGTTTCCTACTATCTCATCTTTCAATTCTTAAATCAATTTTGAGTATACGATAACACGATATACATGATAAATATTGTGTTTTCCCTTTTAATTATCTCATTAAGCGCATAAGTTGTAATATGTCACAATTTGATAAAAGAAAAAACAAAACTCATCAAAAAGTGCATAGTCAGTGCAAGGAAGTTGTGTTTTCGATCATCGATAAGAGCAAAGATACAATCAACAGAGATATAACAAAAGCGTACGTTGTTGTTTTTATTATGTTATTAAAACGTTTCTATTTTCTCTCGAGCGTGTGTTATTGCATTATTTAGAAATTTTGGCAACTTTAACACTTAAAAAAGTATTTTTTTTGTTTTGTTTTGTTTTTTGCTAGTAGTTGAATAGAAAAATGCGAGAGCGCGTTAAATATTTTTATTCTAAAATCACGCTTTTAACGTAAACTGTTTTATTTATTGCATATATACTTGACCAAAATAACTGTTGGAGACGACACTTGAGAATGAGGAACAATTGAGTTTTAGTGAAGAATGAGCGATGAACAGCGGAGATAGGCTCGCGATGTTTGTACAGTTCGCGGATAGTAGGTGCTTCGGTCGTGTTTTGTGTTTGCAAAAGAATATGAGTACAGTCGAGCGCGAGCATTGCTAGTGGAAGGTAGCGGGAGTTCGCGCGTATATGTACGTGTCGAGTGGAAAAAAAAAAAACGCGACAACCACATTTCCTAAGTCTTGATAACTCACGGCGTACAAAAAAGTGATCTTGTTGTTTACGCGATAGTGCGTGGTAGCGATCGGTTTGTAAATCAAAAGTTCTGGCTATTAATTAAAATAATTAAATATTGACACGTGATAGAGCGTGTTAACGCGATCAGTTTGCAAATCGAAAAAAGATCTGGCTATTAGTTAAAATAATTAAATATTGATTGAGACTAATTAAACATTGATTGAGAAATATCTTTCAATTGAACTAATTGCAATGAAAAAGAAATTCGTCTGAAAAAGCAAGAGAGACTTCTTTCAAGGAAAGAGTTGAAAAAGCAGAACAGCTTGTTCAAAGAACAGTCCAGCGTTTTATACATTTGTATTAAAGTTATTTGCAAATGTATGCGTAACTTGACACTTCAAGACGATCGAAATTATAAACAGGTTTTTTTAACTACTAATAATATATTGAGGTTGAAGTTCAGAAAAACTAAATGTCACATTATTCATGTGCTAAAATAAGTTTTAAAAAATTTCGAACTATGCGTGAGATATCTGAAAGATATACGATTTGTGTATATATGCGCGCATCTCAACTTAAATGAGAGATTTGGATTTTCTTATTGTTAAGTTATATAGCGTCTTGACGTCTTGTCTTGATGTCAAGTCGGGTTACCAACAATACAAAATTTGCAATGGAAAAATCTCGAGCTGTTTACAACAGAGTTTTAAAATCGCGATAAGCTTTCGCATTGCCAACTATCTCAAACAAATTCTACAAGTAGAAATTTTCTTGGTTTTGTTTCGGCGCAGTGTTGTTAAAGGTTTTTGATTTGATATATTGCAAAATGTATCGAGAAGGCTGAGACTTCGAGGTTATACATATATAAATTTTATAAATTATCATCTCTTTGCGCAATCTGCTTATGAATTTTAAAATAGTTTTTATAGTTTTAAAACGCACACTACGCTACGAAAACTGAACGTCATATTTATTTTTACGCACTTTGTCGGAGTTATTTTTATTTAAAATTTATTAACAAATCTAAAATTAAATATTTTATAATTAAAAAGTAATTTTTTATTTTTAAAATTGATATAATTATACATAAATTATTTCATAACAAGAACTATTTATAATCATTTTATCGATTTTATTCGACATTTTATCGTTCTTACACGAATCTAATTAATTACCATGACTCGTATAATCGAACTAAAACCAAATAAAATAATCAGTTTCGTGGAAATAATATGTATACGTCGCGCTAATTATTTAGAAATAAATGTAAATAACAATCTTATAAAGATAAAAGAAAAGACAGAGAAGTTGCTTACGTTTGTTGATTTGCAAGCTGAGAAATAACCTAACGATAATTCATACAACGTGTGCTGCACCTGTGGCATATGGGCCACATGGTATTAATAAAACAGTTTTTCTTTTTTTTTTTTATTGCAGACACACAAACTTGTCTACGTTTATGTGTCGAGGCCATAAAATTTATTAGTAATTAATAATTAATTATCAAGTAATTAATTATTAAGTAATTTATTATTAAATAATTATTATTTACATTCGCGATAGATTCGAGAGCGTAAGAAATAAAAAATTCGTAAAGAGATTTGATCATTAAAATACTTCACACAAATTACAAATATGTATTTTGTAAAACGCGCGTGTTTGTAATTAGAAAATTATTTTTTAACGTGTCTCTCTCGTTGTTTTAATCAAAAATGTGTGACGATACAAGATACAAAAACACATAAACTTTCATCATTTGGTTAGGCGATCGATGACAATTTAAAAACAAAAGTGATAAGCGGAAGATTTCGAAATGTCGTCGTATTTTCGATGGATGAAGAGCGGAAAGAAAGACGATTGTTTCGGCGCGAAGCCTAGAAGTCGATCCTTGGACGCCAAGAGTCTCGAAGCGTCGGGTGTTCGGCTGATTCTACAAAACGTACATACACATCTATTTTTCTTTAACACAATTGTTATTAGTGATGATATAATTGTTCTCCGTAGTTTCGTTGAAATCGCAACGCCAACAAAGAATGTTTACTTAACACGTGAAGTCGCTAATATCCGCATAAATAACGTCTTTCACGGGAAATTATGTAATCAATCGTTACACCAAAAATATTAAAAAAACTATAAAGCAGTTTTTTTACAAAACGAAATCTCACGACACATCTTTTGAGAATTTTTTCATGGTGTAATAACTTTCCCTAAACAATGTGAATTTTTTTTTTCAATAAAAATATTTTCTTCTCGCGTAGAGACGCGTCACAAGATTGACAATTATTATTAAGACTTGAATAATAAAAGTTGAGAAAAATCGAAAGTTTCTTCATTCGATATCAAATGAAATGTTTTTCACATGAGTTTTGTTTGGGTTTTTGTTACAGAGAGCGGCGGTGCAGCATCAAACACAAGCGTCGTCTCAGAGTAAGTAATGTTAATTATGTAACGTATGCACATTAGTGTTTGGTTTCTTTACTGTGAAGAAAACCATACATTGAGATAAGCGACAAATACTACATCGAGACGTTGATAGTAGATAAATGCAGAGAAATAATCTTTGTTCTTGTTTTCATTCGGGGACAGAATGAGAGGTGATAAAAAATATATCACGTTTTAAATAAAATTAGTTACTTGTATTTTTTCTATCACAGTAGAGAGATTTACATAAAAGGAACAAAACGCATTTTTGGAAGATTTTGTTTTTTCTTATTTGAGTGTGTATATATAATATATGTTCATGTATGCACGTGTGTGCGTGTGTATGCGTGTGTGTGCGCGCAGCTCGATCTCAGACAAATGCTGCCATCCGTTCATTGCGGGAATCAGTTCGTTCTCTCTGTATATATTCTTGTTTGTTTTCCATGTCGTCGGTAGTGAAGTGTATTGCCCGTTGAGCGGCAATCTCTCGCTCGATGATCTTGCTATGAGATGCGTCGTCTCTATCGCCAGATGGCGTTTCAAATCATTCGGATCTTCACACAGTGTGCGATCCGTCGGTCCGGATGGCGCGGTTCGACGCGATGCGGAGTTAGTGCACGTTTCAACGCTGACAACGACGATCAATGCCCGCGAGACTCGAAATCGCTCGGCGTTCGCCGGTTTCCCACGATACATCATCACCAGCTCGCGCATCTTCGAATTGAAACAATCGAGAGAGGAGAGAGATATATATATATATATTCCGACATCTTTCGTCGCCGCGCGTTTTTTGTCATACCCCTTTTGTATAGTACCACCACGCTCTTACATGGGAGAGCATAAGCTGTGTATCAACAAAACCACCGATGGAAGAAAAACAATATTTGCGTACTATTCATTAAACCGCGCACATCGCTATTTGATGTCACGCGCTCGGTATTAAAGTTAAGTGTGCGTGTGTATGTGTGTGTGCGTGTGTGTGTGTGTGTGTCAGGTAGTGAGAGTGTTCTCTTCGTGTACGTGAAGGACGGCAGTGCCGCATTTTCGATGAATCGCTTCGTCGAATAAATTGCGCGAGACGCGACTGGATGCACTGGAGGTTTGTAAAGACGCAGAGATTTCCTTGATTCTTGAAGAATCTCGCACGTTACGAGAGGAGAGGATTGAAAGTAAGTCTCTGTCGCGTGTTGTGTTTACGTTGAAGCGAAGGAGACGCGACGAGTTGCGACGCGACGTGAGTTTCGCACGGTCTCGTGCTTTCCGCATCGTGAGCGATTATCGTTGCCGTGTCAGGCGCGTTATCGCCTCAAACAAGAGAAGCGTAAAGTCCATTCGCGCGCTCGAAAAAAAAAAAAAAAGTAAAACCGCGATTGGCAGAGCGCGGGGGCGGGAGAAAAGTGCGTGCACGCCTCGGCGAAATTTCCATTTGTTCGACCGACTCTATTTTTCCCTTCCGTTTGTTTTTGTTTCTCAATTATTATGTAACCCGAATTAGATCACGCACGCACGTTCGCAGCGGCGGTAGTGTTTATATATCGGTCATTTAGAAGCGGAGAGCTTCCTCTCCTCGTTACAACGAAACTACGTAGTTCCCTCCCGGGTGGTGTAATTGAGCCTGTTGTTTTTTTTTTTTTTTTTTCTTTTTTAGTCCGCACTGTACAAATGTATCCCGCGCGCTGAATTGGCTTCTCTCAACTTAACGAATCGCAATTCAAAGTTCTTGTTTGTTTGAGGGAGATTTCGAGCTGATTTTTCAGTCGATTCGGTCGCGGCGGTTCGACAACAAAAGAAATTACCTCTCTCGTAGTATTTTTGTTTTTGTTTTTGTTTTTTTTTTTGTTTTTTTTGTTTTTTTGAGTTGTTTGTTAAGTATACACAAAAAAAGTACCGTGATCGTGATGATTCTCTCGACGGCGCGGTGTGATACGGAGGTCCCTCGAGGACTTTCGCTGACCTTGACAAAACCGGTTTTGAAACGCGTCGATTGTTTCGCATTTGGTAACCGGAAACGCGTGTATCGCATAAGCGACGAGAAGCCCTAAAAATCTCAAAGAGAGCAACAAAATCGAATATCGAACAGCTTGCTTCGAAAACACGTTTCTGTGTGACGTGTGTTTATAGCTCTTACACAGAAAATCAGCACCGAAGATCGCTTGTTCTGCAATTTTTTTTTTCTTTTTTTCCGCGAATTATTTCGGTCGTGCCGTTCGGTATAGGCGAACAACAAATCTCGCAACATCTTTGTTGCGCGACACATTTTTTTACAAACCGTCGAGATAAAAATCGCAAGTTTTAAAATTCACAAAGTGAAAGGACACGCACGCACAAAGACGCGCGTATAAAAGACTTTTGAAAAGAATCGAACGGGGTAAATATGACCGCGAGAGAAACGTCGTAGTTTTTAAATATATATAATAGATACACGCTTCGCGCCGTCGTGCGAAAGAAATATTTAACGTGTCTCTCTGAGCGCTCCGAATATATACCCGAGGACCGAGTTAATTTGTAATATCATTAGTGTCGGGAAAATTACAAAAATGACGCTTTATGGATGGTTGCTAACGTTTGCGCTCATATATTATTCCTCGCTATGTTTTTAGAAAAAATCGACGTGTAACGTCGTGTAACAAGATAAACCGGATATAACATCAACCGGCGCGCGTAATCTGTTTTTGCGCGTGTAATCTTTTTTTTTTTTTTTTTGTCTACAAGCTCGATAATTACTCGCAGCTCAAATAAAGTTCGCGATTGCGAACTTTTTCTCTTGCATTTTTGTTTTAGTTCTTATTGCGACGCGTCGCTTTGAACCCGATTTATCATCGGGTGTCCCGTCTTGCTGTGCCGATGCGCAGATCCGAGAGAGAGGAGGTACCAATCTCTTAGTGAGTGAGTTCGTCTTTTGACAACGGAGGGCCGGCCTCCGGATCGATACGACCCAGTTCCTCACCCTCGACCCCAAAAATCTACGTTTCAGCGACTATATTGTAGAAATCGGTATATGAATGCGACGAAGTGCAATACCGTCTCTCGAAAGAGGATTACTCGGATTTAAATAGAGTATTTAAAATTGTTCTTTTTTTTTTTCTCTCTCTCTTTCTCTCTTCGCTGTCGTCTGTGTTGGATGATCGTTTTACGCGCTACAAATTTGAGAAAGCTCTTGGAAAAAAAAAAAAGTTACAGTCGCAGTAACAGCAGTCGAATTGGGGAGAGCGGTGAAGAGTTGTCCTCGGTTGTTTAATAATGACCGGCATTTTGTGCTTCCGCTAATCATGCGCGAAGTGTCGTGTAATAAACGCTTCCTTCTGAATCTTAATTTCCTTCTCTGCACGTATACGTACGTGTGCGCGCGGGGAAGAGGGGAATCGCGCATTTTTCACGCTCGGAGAGGGAACGCGTACGTGATTTTATTTATTTCTCTCTGTTTTGCGAGATAAATAACATCCGCTTTAATTTGATTAGGTATCTACTTGTTTGTTGGAGTTTGCCAAAATTTAATTGGATTTCGACATCGGATTTATTCTCGGTTCGTTCGTTCGTTCGTTTTGAATCTTCGCTTTGCCGCATAAACACGCGCGCTTGTTGGTTTCTCGCTTCGTTCATCAATTTTGCGACGACGACACACACATCGTCCTCTCATCCGAAGGATGTTACGAAAAAGTCAAATTCCGAGATTCGCTCGTGCCGATAACACATTTCTCCTTTCCCCGTTCCGCGCGACAGATGAAACGCGGCCGACTGACGATTGAACAGCCGCCAGTCCGCGGCGTCGCTTTTCGCGTTTTATCGATGAAAAATAGTCGGCAAGTTTGTGTTACGTTCTTGGCAGATACCGAGCGACGTCTATGATCAACGCGGAATTGTGTGACGGCCGCTTCCGTGACGCGAGCGGAGTTATTGTTACTTTTGACGACGTGTTTATTGTTGCTTCGAACGAACACGTATCGTGAAATGTACGGTATAAGCCACCTTTTGTCTCATCATCATCACGGCGCCGACAATGGCGACACCAGAAGCTCCATCTCCTCCTCCTCCGTCGTGTCGCCTGACATTCGGAATCAGGACGTGAAGTTTCTGCAGGAGCTGTTGAATCATAAACCCGCCGACGGCAAACTATGTCTGAACGAGCGACAAGTTTCGCGCGGCTCGGTCAGTTCTGCGTCTTCTCACGGATCCAACACGTCAAATAATCATCCTCATCATCATCCACCGCATCCTCCGCATCATCATCATCATCATCATCACCATCAGACCGTGTATCACACGATCCATGGCAACAGCCATCATCACCATCATCCTCTCCATCACTATCGTCCGCGTACGTCGAGCACGCACAGCGGCAAGGCGTCACCGACTTCGCCCAGCCCGACCAACGAGCACGAGAAACAGCAGCACCATCATCACCACAGCAGCATACAAGAGATGATACGTCACTTCGGTCGAAGACTGGGACACATTAGACGGCAAAGCGAGAGCCACGAGAGCCCGAAGAAACGCGAGGAGGATTTCAGAAACAGAAGTCAGAGCCTGGACGGCACTAGACCACCCGCCAGTCCGCAGGATACTGATTGCGAGACCACCTATAGAATCTACGAAAGCATACTTAGGCAAGGTAACGTGCGCGAACGGCGTGTGATCTCCGTCGGCTTCGATTGAATATAATCTCCGATTAAAACGTTTCTCCACGGCAATGTGTGTTTATTTTCTCTCCACGTATAATACGCGGAAGCAAATAAAATAAAAATGTGCCGCATTTAAATACACATAGAAATTGATTGCGCACATATATGTCACCGTAAAAAGTGCGTTAAATATACAGATGTTATTTGCAAGTCTGGTTTTTTTTTTTAACAAAAAAAAAAGCGAACGTTAAACGGTAAAAAAAAAACTGATTTTCAATTTTTTCAACGACAACGAGTTTTCAACGAAACAGGTTTAATTCCATCGCGGCGAACGCTTAGAAAAACACAGAAACAAAAACAAAAGTTGATTTGCGATCGTCTCTCCCTCCCTCCTTCTCTCTCTCTCTCTTTCTTTCTCGCGAGACGACGTACCGTTTCAATTTTCCGGCTGCGTCTGTGTGTTGCGCAATAAGTTTTTGCGATTTCTCACGCGCGCGTCGCGAAACTGGCCGCTCAATATTATTCCACATCTGCTAATACATATACATGTAAACATCTCATTTTCGCCTTCGCCTGTCTGTTGTACGCACGAAAGTGTTGCGACATGCGCGATGAAACCAAACCGGGTGCCGCGTTGGGTAACGCACATGGTGTATATTTTTCTCTATCTATACTGTGTTTCGCTAAACTTTTAGTAGCTTTTCCCAAATCTCGAGAAACGAGATTCTATTTCTAAATCGGTCGCGAATTTGTTTCTCTCTTCGCGTTAAAGCTCTCCCGAACTCTCTCTCTCTCTCTTACTACCCAAGCTTCAATGCTTGTTATTGATACATAGAAGCTCGCCTTGACCTGACCGCGTGCAAATATTACGGCGCTCGTTTCGAACGCGCGATGAGTGTGTGACTCATTATCCTTTTATGCACAGTGCGCATAAAAATAAAAAAAAAAAAAAAAAAAAAAAAACTAAAATTATCGTCACAAAGTTTTATCAACGAAAGAGTACGCAGTAACGTAAAATGCGATAAAACAAATAAGAGCGCTGAATCAGAAGTTTTCATCGACCAGAGAGAGTTTTCGCTGACAAGCAGAGTTAATTAATATTTTTAATATGTGTTTTTTTTTTACAAACAACGCTTTCCTTTTCCGTTTTGTTTATCTCTTACAGACCGAGAGAAAGTGCTGAGAGAATCGATTGACCAGTCAATTGATTTTCGAATGATAGTGTTGTTTAATTCCGAGCGTGAGTATACACACACACACGCACACACGTCGTGTGTAACTCGCAAGTGTCTAACATTCGTCGTCGTCATTCCGTTCTCCCGAACACCGGGAGAGTAACATCACCGGTCGTCGTGAAACAAACACCACCGATAAAGCGGAATATCGCTCGAGTGTCTCGCGCTGAGGAAGCGGATTTAATCGTAGAAACGTGAGCAAACGGCCTTCGTCGGGAGAAAAACAAAATTCCAAGACCGACCGAATCGACGTCGAAGTGTACGACGTCTTGCGACCCGGGCAGGTCTGATTTCAAGTCTCGCTTCTACACAAAAAAAAAAAAAATAAAAAGTATACGTACGTAGCTTTCTACTGAAAGCAAATCTACCGAACTATGTGTGTGTGTGTGTGTGTGGGAGCGAACGGGCACTGTGTTGGTTTCGACAAATATAATCTCGACAGAGAGACGTTCGAGAAAAGAGTCCAACTCCGCATTGCTCTGGTTGATTAAACCTGCGACGACAACGGGGCGCTTTTAGTTTTACACAGAAGTCTCGTCGGAGTGTTGTCCCGATAAATATTTATTACATAACGCGCGCGTGGTTCTACGTTCTACAAAATAGAAATGTCGTAGATAAGAGTATGAAAAATGTTGTGTTTGCGTTTATAAATTGTGCGCGCGTTATTATAAGACTGCGTGTAGAGAGAACGCGAGACACCGAGACAATTAAGAAATAATTGTCATAGATGTATAGTCAGTTATAATTCGTCGACGTAAAACTAGTCTCTCTCGTGCGAGACGAAGAGAAGAAAAAAACTATTTTTTTTTTGTAATTCTCACTTTTGTTTTTTTAGGTGCACACAGAAGAAGTTCCTTGGATCCTACAGCGCGGAGATTGTCCCTCGGAACACCTTCAATACCTCACAGAGCATCTGATGCTTGTCTAGATCCAGTTCATGCTGCCATACTCTTCAGGGACGCACGTGGGGTAAGGTTTTTATTCGAAGGATACACGATTCCTTCTTTGTGTACATATAAAAATATTTCTACAATTGTAAAACTGCGCGTGTGTGTGAAACACTTACACAACAACATTAACAACTTTTTCGGACGATTATATTGTAATCAAAGATCTTGTACGTGCGTGCGCGTGCTTCGTAAAAAAAAAAAAAAAAAAAAAACTAAGGAAAAGTTCCAAGTTTTTAATCAATTTTAAAGCTGAGAACATAGAACGACCAAGCAGGTTAAATTAAATCAATAGCAGCTAAATTAATTCGATTTTCAATTTTACGTGTAATGCGGTTAAAATCTTGGATTTATCGAGGTCGATTATAAAGAAATTCTCTTTAACAACCTAAGTGTGTTACTTTATCGCGAGTTGATAAAGTCGCGCGCTACTGTGTGAGGCACAATGCTCGCTCGATTGGTTCCAGCAGTGGCACACGCGTGTTGAACTTCGCTAAACCGATGTTTCAACCAGATTTTTCAGACTTTTTTTTCTTGATAACTAATCTTTGTTATCTGGATGATATTTTAAATTTCTATTACGTCGCATTGCGAATTTCTAGTTAAATGTTTGTTTTTTTTTTTTTTAGAAAAAGTTTCTCTTGGCAATTGACATATCAATGTGAAGTTTTTTTCCAAGTATAATTTCTAATTTGTGAAAGTGTTGTCTAAGTTATCTACTTGTTTCTAAAAGCGGTCGTTAAATAATATTCAATGTTTTTTTTTTTTTCGTATTTTCTGCACTTATTTTTATCTCTCTGGCAACGCGTCAAATATATATTCAAGTGCTTATCAACGTGCTTATCTTATGTGTAGTAATTGAGCGATTCGACAACGAAGGTTCTCCCACTTTAAAAAGAGGCTTGCCCTCATTCCTGAATATCATCGAAATCGGTGTTTTTTGCTATAAATAAATACTCGAACTCGAGCACAAAGAGAGACGTACAGTGGCGAGATGATTCAATAATTTATAAATCTCAAATTAAAGGGCGTTTTTTTCTTTTTTTTTTTTTATCACCGAGTTTACGCGTAGCACCAAGTTCAGTTACACGAGAAGATGACACAAAAATGTCATGTTCGATGAAGCGCCCTGGTGTGTGCTCGATGATGAGCGCGCGTACAAGCGATGCGCCGTAAATTACGCACGCACAACGTGTTGCTGCGAAGCTCCACGGAGTCGTCGTGCGCCAGTCTGGATGGTGGTGATCCAGTTGAGCACGAGCGACCGGCTGGTGCCGACCCCGAGGAAGCCGAGAGAAGTAGAATCGCGTCTCTCCGTGTCGCGTCGCACTCGTGTCCTGTCGTTCCTTACGCGATGACGTATTTTTCGATGGTGATCTCGGTGGTGGTGTCCTGTGTTGTATCGACCGGTTGGCTCATGCCGCGTAACATCGACGCAACAACCTAGAGAGCACCAGAGAAGAGAATGTTGATGAAGAATGTTGTGGGGTTATTTCGCGCGAACGTGTCTGAAGAGAATTAACACACAGTGGCATCGGGTTTTTTTTTTTTGGTTTTTTGGAGGGGTTTTTTTTTATTTTTTTATTTTTTTTATAGAAAAGCGTCACGCGTCGTTTATACATCGACCGCGTTTCTGTGATCAATCCGTGTCGCTCGGGCGAGCATGAACAGAAATTTTCTCGGACACATCGGTTTGACAGTTTTGCGAACGTTTTTCGAAAACGTGTTTGAGGTTTCGCGCTTGATTAGGAATTATAGGAACGTTCAATAACGATAGAACACATGAATGCGATTCGGGTCATTGCTGCTGAGGTTTTGCGATTATGTCTGGTGTAAGAATGAAACACACACACACACAGAGATTTTACTAAAAATACACACAACACCGCACAACGTATCCAGCAACGACAGAAACACTTGTTGCTGGCTATAAACATGCGTGCGCTAGGCTTCTCATCGTCGCGAAAAAGAGCGAGAGATTGGGGAATAAGAGATTTTGTTTTTTTTCAGACCGACCTTGACCCGCGACCCCTTTACTCACAGTTACGTCCAATCAAGTTTGACTACGCAAACAAGATGTTAAATAATCATCAAGATGTTGATTAGAATGATTGTTTCTTTTTCTTTCTGTTTTTTTCTTTACGTAAGACCGTCAATATATCATCTTGTTTTGATTGAGCAAAAAACCTCGAAGAAAGAGATTTTTTTTTTTTTTTTTATCGCGTCATCTCGCGCAAACGCGGCGGATAAGTAAATTTTATAATTGAAACGATGCACACAAATTGAAAATTGTAAATATTTAACAAAAATTCTCATTTATCGCGCGAAATGACGTACGTACGTAAAGCACGCACTTGATATTCAAACGCTTCTTACGCTTTCGCGTGCCGAATGCTAATGTTCAAGAGCTGTTCGTAAACAATCGCGCTGCTCGGAACTTATATTTAGATTACTGTTGCCCGAGATAAACGCGCACAAAATTCCGTAAACATTGCTATATAACATATCCCGTGCTCGTTTCCCTCCCGATTTCTCGAGTTAACGACGCGCTTCGGAGTCTCAAATGTTTGCACCTCGAAGTGCACACACACACACACACACACACAAATATATAGAAAGTTCATTACGTCAGCGTGTCGTGTATTAACAAAAGCTAAAGCCCATCATTTGATTCTACGCGTACGGAATATTTGATCAATGTTTTGCATAATGTGTTCTTTAACGTACGGTTTTTTTTTTTTTTTATCGCAGTTTTCGTTGTGTCAAAAAAATAATTCTCGAACATGTTGCGCAACAACCAAATTTATTTTGTGAAAAAAAAAAAAAAATAACGTTGCGATAAATTAATATCATTGCTAATCCGATATGTTTTTCTTTTTATACTCGTTTAGTAGGCGTTTCATTTAAAAACAGGCTCGTTCAAAGGCCATCGAGTTTCAGATCCCGGCTTGTTTCTAGGCGTCGATTAAAAGTCTTGTTTTTCCATTCGCTTTTTTTTCACAACGCTTTGCTAACAAATTGTCAAATACACTTTTTTTTGTTTTATTTTTTTTTATCCCCGATACGGCGGATCCCTCTGTGTGCGGCGCGTATTGTCGCGAAAACTTTGTTGCGTCAACGTATTGTTGTGTTTTTTCCGCAAAAGTTTTTTTTTTTTTTTACGTATCGCAACGACAACAGTCGCATTATAGGAGTTATCTCTGCGCGCGTTGAAATCGCGAGTGAAAGCGCGCGCAGTGTTTAATAAACAAATCGATTTCGATTGAAGTTGCGAAGCGAGCGAACGATAAAAAAGAACCGACGAGGATCGCTTAAACATGACGTCACTCTTGCCAAAAATCTAAAATTATTGTCGGTAGGAAATACGACGCAACAAAATACACGTGCCCACGGGAAAACATTGACGATCGCGCGTTGAAACTTCATCGGCGCGATTTCGCCGATTCGAGATTTTTGCCATCTGGTTTTTCTCTCTGTTTTTATTTTTATTTTTTTTTGCCTAAGTGCAACTTCGTCAGACGAAGTGAAACATCCGTACCGCGTGAACACACGGTTCGCGCGGAGAGAGAAAAGGCGTCTCCTGACTCTGCGTTCATTTGGTACACTTGTTGTTACACGCGCGTTGTCGCGTTATCTTTCTCTCTCTCTCTCTCTCTCTCTCTGGATGAATCTAATATCAGTCCGGGGATCGAATGTGACGAAGTCGCGGTGGTAAAATGAGAGCTGTGGAAAAAAAAGTCGACTGTTGTTTTTCTTGCAGATTGTGCGGCAAGAAAGAGCGGTTCTCTTAAATCATATCGACGCGCCGTCTGGTTTTTTTTTCTTCTCTTTAACGATGGGGGAGATATGGGAATTGCAATCACGAGAGTGATCACGGGAAAATTCAAGATATGTTGTCGGAAATTTATATTTTATTATTATCATTATCGTCGTCGTCGTCGTCGTCACATCGTCGATAATCCCTTGCTCGAAAGCGTTTATTGCGCATCGCGCAAGAACAAGGTGACTATTTATTGAGTGACCGCATCGATATTACGCGCGAAGTCGTCTTGGAAGAACCGCGCGAAAATTTTTAATTCGCAAACCGGTGTGGCAAAAAGTGTGTTGAACGATGTGTTAACACTTGTGACGTGGTTGCTCATCGTGAACAATGTAAACATCATTCTCCACGAAGTTGCGAACTATTCCATTCCGGGATAGCTGCGTCGTCGTCGAGTCGGAGTTTCGGAGATTGCGCGTGTATTCCGGATGAAGATCCGTTGCGGTCGAGAAAAATAACAAGAGATACGATAAAAAGTACATACGTCGCGATAATAAATTTTAGTTTTACGCGCAACGCGAGTTGACGACACGTTTTATCGAGCGCACGCGTTATTATGTAAAAATCTTTAAAAAGTGAAAGAGAGAGAGAGAGAACGAATGAACGAACGGACGTCTCGCTTAAAATAGCTACGTTATTGGCTTTTAATCGATACGAGATGTTATTCCGACGTCAAACGAGCGAACCGACCGGAAGTATCGCCAGGAACTCGGATGTGGCGCAAACTGCAAGTTCCGGCGTTCTAACAAACTGGTACACGAAGATTAAGAGACGACACACGTTCAGCCCGAGGTCTTTGCTGAAGCGAACTTTGGTATAGTTTTTTTTTCCCATACGTACGCACGCACGCACGCACACACGCAATTTCTAATTCCCACGTCTCCTGTGATTGATGCGCTTGTTGATCGTGAAAAACTGTGAAGTGAAAGAACACGCGGTGCGTGTCTCGCGGAATATTCAATATTCAGACTTTTTAACGCTCGCTGTACGAGCGTTCTTCGGCCAAAGCGAACTCGGAAGTTATTTTCGAACCGTGGAATTGGTTTTTTTTTTTTTTTATGTTTTTACTCTCTAATTAGACTCGTTAAAGAAATAATTAAAATATTTTTCATTAAGGAGAAACTCTTGTGCTGCGAGTCGATAAAATGACCCTTAATTCGCGCTCGGAGAGTGAACAAAAATAAACAACAACGTTGTGTACACACACACGTGTATCGATTTTTAAGAACAAAGAGAGAAGGTGTTCTTTAAAGTAAAAAAACAGACCGACTAAGTCTAAACGGACTAAACGAAGCGGATGCTAATTTCTTTCTCTGTTTTGCAGCTGCCGGTGGTGGATCCTTTCCTGGAGAAAGTCTCGCTGTCCGATCTCGGTGAGTTCTGAAACCCGATAATTTTCTCAGGTTTTTCTCGCTCGTTGTATCGGATCGTCTTCCGGAAATTCACGAGATTTATACGTTGTCCTTTGTTTTGTTTCGTTTTCTTTTTTTTTTTTTTTTTTTTATCTCTTTATGCGCGATTTCTCGTGCGTGTGTGTCAAGTGGGAGAAAATTTCTTCACGATGAGATCTTTTTCATTCGAAACACATCACCGATTCGATGTTTCATCGATACAACATTTGGACAACGTTACTCAAGAGGAAAACAAACATCGGGCTTGATTTTCACACGGAGTGTACTTGCGTGTTTGCGTTTCGATATCACGGAACGATATCCGCGTCCCACGTGTTTGGTTGAGAGTTCTACACAGCGTCCCGCTTGAAAATCGCGGCACCGGGTTCCTCCTAGCCCCGTGGAAAGTGTATAGCGATCGATGAGCTCCCGGGAGGCCAGCTGGCGTTACGAGAGCGAGAGGGAGAGAGGAGGTTATTCGCGATACAGTGTCTTGCTTCAGTTCAGTGCGCTCGCACTAGCACGTTCTGCGTCACATTGGCACGATTTTATCCGGGTCTAGGTCATGGGTCGGATTTTTATATTTATAAAAACGAGGATTAGGTAAAGAAAATCGATTGATCGGAAATAAAAGTTTTTTTTTTTTTTGAATAAATCAATCACACGTTGTCGGCGTTAGAGCGAAATCTCGTGCGGATAAATGGGGGACTTGAGGGAACGACGTGCGTGGCGTCACAAGTTGCTGAGATGAAAAATGAGACACGTGGTTTGTGAAGGTGAAGGTGCGGAATCGGGGTTTTTAGATTTCCGTTTTTTTTTTATTTTTATTTTTTTTTTATTCGCGATTATTGAAAACAAACGATCTCTCCCGTTGAAAAAAAAAAAAGCTCTGAGGAAATGTCCGAAGGAAGATGTGGAACTTGGCGCGTCTTTTGGCAAAGAACGCGCCAGCTTCGAATTCGGTTTATTCTTGGCACGCGCCGCCGGTTGATGATGACAGCGAGAAGAAGAGAAAACCGAGACGAGAGATAGAAGGAAATGGAGAGATAGGTGCCGAATGAAACGTTGACGAGATGGACCCCGAGACGACTAGAGACCAGTCGTTGCGTTCACCAGCGACGAAGCTGACGATTCTCGAGAGATCTCGTGAAAGGCGCACAACAAAGTAAATCATATGACAAGGAGAGATTCCAGTGATAAAAAAAAAAAAAAATAAAAAATTTCAGTGACGAAGAAAAGAGTTGCATGAGAAATTTAATTTAATGAATTCTAAAATCATGCTCTCGTTTGTAATGATGCAAGAAGATCGCGAGGCTCGTAAAGTAATGATTAATTTAAACGGCGCATATTCGTTTGTTTAAAGCGCACACAAAGCGCCGTCGTCAAAAAACAAAACAAAACAAAAAACAAAATTGAGAATTATCTAAGGAGCAATAATAACACACACGGCGCGGCGATTACAAATTACTGTGTTGTAAAAGCTGCGGTTTTATATATCGCTCGAGAGAGGCGATATTTAACGATGTGTTAAATAATGCTGACCTTGCACTACTACTCGAATTCCGAAAGTGTTCGTGCCGCTTTAAAGCAGGTTGCGGCCGCTTGGTGGAGTCAGGACGACGATCCTGTGTATTCCAAGGATCTCATCAAGGAGTTTGAGGTGGAAAATCCACCGCTCGAGGACGAGCTCGCTTGGATTCTCTCCAAAGGTATCGCGACCTAGCGATAATTGCACGACTATCCAGTTTGTCAACAACGTGTCTTAGAAAATTTTTAATCAACGTTTGTAATTCATGTTTGTTTTAATTTTTTTTTTTTTTTTTTTTTTTTTATCTCACGGATATACGGGCGCCGTTGAATTTCAACGTATAACGTGTGTAAATGAAAAAAAAAAAAAGACGCGAAATAAAAACGACACAACAAACCGAACAAACGTTGTTTCAGACGTGTAATATACATAAAACGTATACAATGTTGTTTTTTTTTTTTTTTTTTATTTACGCGCGCATGCGATTATCAATATTGATCTTTCCGGGTCAATTAAAAAACACACACATGAACATGTGTGCGTTGGATTTGTTTGCAAGGAAAAAATTTTTCATTTTTATTACGCGTGTTATGTTTATTCACGGAATTTTACGGAAATTGTGCGAAATAATAAAATGTGTGTTCTCTCCAGAGAGAGAGAGAGAAAGCTAGCGTTTTATATTCGACAAACGCGCAATTTTTTCGCGGTGCGTCGAATGCGCTCGTCGTTATCGCGTGCAACTTGAACGTGCGCAATGAACGCCGAACGGTTAATGCATTCCCTTCAACACACAACAGACAGACATGTTACATACGTACGCGGTGTATGTGCATTTATTACACGCGCGCAGGTTCATGTATTACTTTTAGCTCGCTCCGCTCGCCGCCAGTTGTGTCCTACGTTCTCTTTCGCCTCCAGCCAGTCGCATCGTAGTTGTCGTGGTTGTGCGAGATTCTTGGATCTCGACATCTGTTTCGAAAGTCAGCGTTGTACGACGAGTATACACTTCTCATAAAAGTGCATAGTACGCAGTGTAAATGTGAAATCTGCCGTGTTTTTAGCGCACACAGTTTTATTTGCCATTTCTTTTCCATTTCTCTCTCGACGCGCGTTCTCTTTGACGATAAAAAAAACAAAAAACAAAACAAAACAAAATTAAATTCTCTTCAAACACGCGTCGAGTGACGGTTTGACGAATAGAAACACGACAAAGAGATTTTTAATAATAATTTGATGATACAAGTCGATATATATTTTAGTAGATTGTTGTAAGCACGATTTGAATTTGTTTGCTTTTTTTTCTGAAGAAAAGTAAATACAATAATAACAATAATACACAATTCTCGAGAGAGATGTTCCACATATTACACTTGTCTTCTCAGAAGTTGGTAATTGACAAGAAAAAGAAAGAGAGAAACATCTTCTCTTTCTTTCACAGCGAGAGATAATATTGGTGTGCACGAGAAAATTCCACAGCGTGTGATCTTCCTTTCTGACGCAATCTTCCATCATTTTCCTCTTATAGCATATTATTCATTGCTTCAATAACGTGAAATTTTTATTACGTAATATTATTTTTGTATAAATGTGTTGTTATTTCCCATTTTTATCGCGCGTATGAAAAATGCCACCTCGCAATATTTTATTTTATTTTATTTTTTTTTTTTATAAAGTATCTTCATCCGAACGTATATAACTCGTATAACTTCCGAGTTGCTTCATCGCAATTCATCTGGTATTAAGTCGTTCCCCCTTTATTGCGTATGATACGGCGATGAGAATATTTCAAATTAAAAGTCCCTCACTGGGATCCGTGTTGGCATCAAAGAGAAACGATGCACGTTGTTGTTACTTCATTTTAAATTGACATTTAATTAATTCTGACAAAAGTGATTCTTTAATTTTGTTTTTTGTTTTTTTTTTTTTTTTTTATGAAAGTTGAAATGGAATTGCGACAATGGAATAAAACTGTAGTATCGCTCCGCTCGTGCGCTTAGCCGGGCAAAAAACGAGTTAATTCGCGAGTTAATGACAGATGCCGTGTGTGCGCGTATCCGCTTTACTCTCTAATCGATGAAGCACGCGTTTGCCTAACGAGAGTGTAAATTGCGCGATGTACAATACTGTGCAATAAAAATTGCTTGCGCACGTTTTCGAAAATGCTTCGTCGAAATCAGAAAGCTCTTCTCTACTGTGAACTGTTTGGACTTTCAGAGGAGGATGAGTCGCAGATTTTCGTCAAGTTCTTCAAGTTTCACAAATGCTACGACCTAATACCAACCAGCGCCAAATTAGTCGTATTCGACACACATTTGCTCGTGAAAAAGGCCTTCTTCGCTCTTGTATATAATGGTGAGTCTTTTCGGATTGTGCAACAGCCGAACTTCAGTCAAATCTGTGAGAAAAAAAAAACCTTGTGTTTACGCAATATTTGGAATATTTGTTTTTGTTTCAAGGGGTGAGGGCTGCGCCATTGTGGGATAGCTCTCGACAGCAGTTTATCGGCATGTTAACTATAACGGATTTCATAAAAATACTTCAGATGTATTACACCAGTCCATCGGTCACAATGGACGAGTTGGAGGAACACGAATTAGATACGTGGAGAAGTAAGTCTTTCTTTTCGACGTGGTTGGGAAAAATTATTGGATGATAAAAACCATTTGTATCTGAAAATTTTAATTTTTTTTTTTCGATGGAATTTGCGCGTTGATTTCAGAGGTTCTGAAGGATCAAGTTCATCCTCTTGTGAGCATCGGGCCAGATGCGTCGTTATACGAAGCTATCAGGACCTTAATACAAAACAGAATCCACCGATTGCCTGTGATAGATCTTGACACTGGAAACGTCCTTTATATCTTGACGCATAAGCGAATACTTAGGTTTCTTTTCCTATATGTGAGTATACCCTATCTTGTGTTATCACGATCTGAACAAATAAAATCTCTTCTGAGAGAGATCGTTCTGATGTTTAATTTGTTTTATTTACAGATTCACGAGTTACCGAAACCTTCTTTTACCAATAAAACACTGAGGGAGCTGAGGATAGGCACGTTTGAAAACATAGAAACAGCCACGGAAGAAACTAGCATAATTTTAGCGTTAAAGAAGTTTGTAGAGAGGAGAGTCTCAGCATTGCCAATTGTCGATTCTGAAGGAAAGTTAGTGAACATTTATTCCAAGTTCGATGTTATTGTAAGTCGCACATCTTGTTTTATATATATATCGCCCGTATGAATAATATTCTATGTAAGTTTTATATTTGTGTTACATCTTGAACGTTGTTATTCTTTGCAGAACTTAGCTGCGGAGAAAACGTACAATAACTTGGACGTTTCGCTGCGCGAAGCAAACGAACATCGGAATGAGTGGTTCGAGGGCGTCCAGAGTTGCAAATTAGATGAGACATTGTTTACTATAATGGAAAGAATTGTTAGAGCAGAGGTATGTGGAGAAGTTTCTTTAAAATGTTGTTGAGATATAATTTTTTTATATCGATTATGTTAAACTTGTGAAAGGGATACATGCAATACATCCTGTTTTCTATATTTTAAGGTTCATAGGTTAGTAGTAATCGACGATGATGACAAAGTGATTGGTATAATATCCCTCTCCGATCTGCTCTTCTACCTCGTTCTTAGGCCTTGTGGTAAGTCTAACATTTTTCAATATTCTTCTCCAACCAAATCGCAATCGTTGATGGAAGTTCATGTGTGAAGCATCATGTGGAATTTTTTTTTTTTTTTTTTTTTGAATATTTTCTTACCACACATATTGTGCATTTCTCGTGTTGATTTTAGGAGAAGATGGCAGTAGCAATAAAATTAGTTCTATATCGTTACGAGCGCAAGATTCACAACTGTCCAAAGCTCCCAGCTCCGTGGAAACGTCGCTCGCCGACGGCGAGATCGAGCAGGACGCAGTAGAGACAACGAATCGCAATCAGTCCGAGGAAGCGTCCACGACACCTAGTCCACCCCTGAGTCCGGTTACATCTCGCGATCCTCAATCGGCATTAGTAAATCAAACTCAGGACGCAGCGTGGCGGGACATGATAAATATTTGTGTCTCAGGTGTGTCGGGCGGAGAATGAAACGCCGCCGGTTTCCATGTGCTATCACGTACGTGAGTAGTTTTTTTCCGAACTAAATAAATCGGCGCTGTTTCAACTGTATTTGTACATCTTTTATTGTTATCCCGTTCGTGCTCTTTTGGGAGAGTGCACGAGTGTGCCAGTTATAATCGAGATGATTCGCGCCGCAAGAAACAAAAAAACGGGAGACGCCGCGCCCGTTTGAATTAGACGTGCTACAATAGAAAAAAAATCATGAAATTCGCGAAAGAAAAACGCGAAGTACGATATAACCAAGCACGATGCTCTGTATAGTGTATAATAATTACTTTAAGCTTAATTTTTTATGGTACAAATGCTACACAGACATGCTACACATTATACGTTTGAGCTTGTCGTCAGAAACGATAGATAGTTTATGTCGATATTTGCTCAGAGTACGATTCTCTCCGCGCCCTTCCACAATCGAGCGTTAAGAAAACTGACGAATATATTGTAAAAAACAAAAAAACAAAAAAAAAAACTGAGTTATTCGAAAGAAACGGTAAGTGTAGAAAATAGAAACTCCTAACGTCGATCGATATGCATTGTGTTTAAGTAGAAAGTTGTATATCGAGATGTATTCATTTCTGTCTTATTTGCACACTGCATTCGATATTGCAAATCGGAGTTGTCGGAGTGCTCTTTTATCTCGGAAATTTGTGTATCGATCGAATTGCTTGCGTTCGCGTTCTATATACTCACGACATTTCCAATTTACAATGCCGAAACGCAGAGCTGTTGTAACTGAAGAAAACTGAACACAGATATACCTGTTACATAAATTTTTTTGAAATTGATTCCTATCGAAATTGTTCTCCTCTGTTTTTTGTTGTTCTAATGACGTTACAATAGACCAACACAACTGAAAAAAAGTGAACTTATTTCGATTGGGATAGTTTCCGAAACAATTACACAATAACTAGAACTTGCTGTCTATTTCATCATCGATCGAAAAACTGAGTCTATTTTATGATTTTCTATTATATATATATATATATATTGGCGATGATTTTAACATCTTGCATATTCGCGTTTGTACAACTAGTTTTGCTTTATTTGTTCATTTTTACTGAAAATGTGTTAGAGATTGCTTTGCCATTGTATATTAAGTAATACGCTCGTGTTCGCGCGCACGTATACACAATCAACATGAAAATTAGAGACTAACGTTTAAATTGGTCATGAAGAGCCAAACGCTGGATGTTTGTGCGAAACGAATATATAAATATATATGTATTTTATATTAATTCAGTGTAATAACTGTTAGTCTAGAGCCTTACTTATTTATTCGTTATTATAATTCATAAAAGAGAGCATTATTCTCAGAATTCTTGATACACGAATATTGCGAGACAAACATAATGCTTCTGTCGCCGAATTTGAAAGGCGCGATCGTTATGGAAAACGAGATTCCATAGTTTCGACTCCTGGCTGAAGAGTTTTTTCGCAATATTTTAAAATTAGATAGAGGGAAAACGAGCAATTTTTATATATGTTATGCAAATCCAACATCCTATATGAAGCAAAGAATTGAATTTTCAATTCAAAATTCAGTTATCACAAATGAAATAATAATATATGTATATATATATTTCGCACGAACATCCGTTTGGCTCATAATGATCAATTTAATGTTAGTTTAGAATGTCAAAAGCTTTATTTATTTCTTTGTTATAAAAATTAGAAACTTACATTTATATTAATTACAATTTTTGGGTTTTGACTCATAAAATTGTCAGAGAAAAAAATTTATACAACGGAAATAACAAAGAACTTGATCTTAATATTAACAAGACCAAAAGAAAACAAACATGATAAAAAATATAAGTATTTAAATGATTATTTTTAATGTCGTTATATTTAAATTAAAAGAATCCAATTGAAATATAATTTTTTCGACATTTATAATATACAAAAATGCTCTTAGCTATATATTTTCTTGTTCGAAAAAGAGATAAACTTACGGATGTGGTGGCACAAAGTTTTCTTACGTAATATTTATCTCTATATGTGAAAAACAATTTAAAGCAAACCTAAAAAGAGCAAATATAAAAAAAAAAAAATACTCAAATTTTTTAATGTGATATCTGACCAAATTCTATACGTTATATAAATCATTAATACGACTGATATTAAAGTGCTGAAATAAGATTTTGTAATTGTTATATTACGCAGTCTTAATTAACACGGGAATATATACCGATTGCTTGTTGACAAAAGTACATTCTTTAATCGACTAAATCATTTAATGCATCGCGCAGATGTGTATACGACATTTTTAAACTTACGTTTATGTGCGACATGTGTAAAATTTTCTCGATATGCAAAGAAACGAGATAGCGAGCAAAAACTTATATTCTTATTATACAAATGTAAATGCAATTGTGAGACTAAAGTATTCGCGTAATCATATCGTGAGAGCGGACTAATGAATTGCAATGGTGCGAAAAAATTTCGCTAGAATTTGTACAGTATCGTATATTTTGAACAAAAAAAAACAAACAAAATTTTAGAACGGAGTAAGAGAAACATTCCTGTAGAAATCCAGCGAACGATCGTAGCGTCATTTGTTCTTGATTCTAATCACCTTGTTAAAAAAAAAAAAAAAATTCTAAACAGACGAGTAATTCTTTTCTGATAAGAAATGTGCGCGAAACGAACGAGTTTTTGTTTCCTCCAAGGATTTTCTCTTATTTGAACAGAGTGTACAAGAAGAAAAATAATGATACACATGTAAAATTTACAAAAACACATTTATAATTTGTCACGCAATGTACATTTGACTTTCGCTATTGTTTTTTTTTATTATGTAAGATCGTAAGTACATTCGGGAGAAAATTTTCCATCTTTTTTGGTAGTCAAACCAGTGATAAGAATTCAAGCCCGGCTCACGCATTCGTTTTCCCCTCTCTATCCAGGGTCTCTTTCAGATTAAACGCTCACGCAACAAACATAAAAAACTCCTACAAAAATGAACCGATTTTTATTTGTTATACACGAAAAGAAAGCTTATTTTAGGATATTTTCGATGTGACCACCGTCATTTTCAACAACTCGTTTTAATCTATGAACAAAGTTCTTCATACATAACTCTAACATTCCCACTTCGATGCTATTAAAGATCTGCGTAATTTCCTCTTTAAGTTCTTCCAAAGTTGTCGGATTATTAACGTAGCAGCGATCCTTCACATAGCCCTACATACGCACACATAGACGTTCGGTGCTCGGTTTATTCGTGTAACTCGGCAGCACCGACGGTCAGACCGGACTGTCTATGGCCAGTATTTATAGTCGGGATCTTATATTTAAGATCGTCTTAAGTTTATCATCAGATGATGTACGACTAGTTTTATTGGCTGCAGAGCATCTGAAGATAAACTTAAAATGATCTTAAATATAAGATTCGACTATGTGGCCTATGTGTGCGTAAGTAAGAGAGGGAAAAACGATAGCGTGCGCGGGCTCGAATTCTCATTATTGACAACGAGTCGAACGTCACATAATTGTGTAGCGCATGGTGCGCGAATCTCACTTGTAAGGCTACGGTATCGATTCACTTTCAAGCACTATCGGCAAACACTGCGCAGTGAACAAAACCTAAGGGATCCTTGTGTGGTATCGTACATCTTTAATTATGGTTGGGCCCCATATAAAATAAATAAAACTAAACTAAAATACTTGTTATGTATAAAAAAAACTCCAATTTAAAAAAAACTCACTTGTAAAATTTACAAGTGAACCTGTTGTAGATGTATACATATATATATATATATATATATGTGGGAATCAGAGTAATGGAATCGGACAAGGAACGACTTCTTTTTTAATGCTGATTTTAATTCTCTCTCGCACAAAGTACAAGATGTAAGAACAATGGAATATCTTTCGCAGTTCGACCCGACACGCTACGACACCTCTAGCAGAGACTGACTCTCGATCTGCTTTTCTTTCATCACGCTCTCTTTTGTCACTCGCCGCGCGCGCCTTATCTTCCAGCAAATATAGACTCGCCGTCACCGGCGGGAAACACGATTCCCACATATATATACACGTACAAGTTTTCCGCTCAACATCTTGCGAACGGCTCGAATTGGCCTTATATTCTTACAAGTTGTTAGTAGAATTGTTATGTATAAAATTATGGTTCGTTATCGTGCAATAACAAACCACTACATACGATAGATACATATAATGTATTTTTTTAGCCACGTATTGAACAACACCAGCCCAGTATGGATTACAATTCGTCAACGATATGCGGATATTGAAGGACATTGTTGACATCATCGTCAAAACCGTCGTCCCCGTCGTTCAGAGCAAATCCGTATTCTTCCATCGTTTTCTTCACCCACCGGCGCAACGGATAGACCTTAGTGGTAAATATACCTCCGCGCGGATTGCTCGAACAGACTGGTGTCGATGATACCTGAAACAAAAGCGGGCAATTCGTGCTTGCCGTTGCTACGATGATAAATAATCGGGCCACCGGAATCGCCGTTGCACGGCGACGAACCGTTGCTATAAATGCACAACACGCGCTCGTCGTTGATTTCGCATTCGTCCGCGGGCACACCGCACGTGGGCGAGTACATGAGCCTGTTGGTTTTTTTTTCGAATCTGTAATACGACCCCATCCCAATATGGTCGTATTGACGTTGTCGTAATTTCGTTCCTTCTTCGGTAACTTAATCGGTCCGATGTTCGAACCGAACTCGATTTCGTCGGTTGTGACTAGAAGACCGATATTGTTGATAGGTCCCTCTCGCTTCTTGTGTTCTTTGAACGACTCGATGTCGTACATAATCCCGCTCTTGTACTTTACGGATTCAACGCGTACGAAAACATCCTCCGGATCCTCCAGGTGCCGCAACCAATGACCAGCCGTTAATACCACGCGGTTAGAAACGATAACACCCGTACAAAACGGGCGTTTGGTTTCCCCGGTAAACGAGAGCAGCCGCGTAGGGAAATTCTCTAGATTTGTGGCCTTGGTTCCGTTTATGATAAAGAACGAAGGTTTGATTTCGTTCAACGGCGCGATCGGTGCGAAAGGTGCAGTATCGGAAGTAACGGCGAAGTCCATTCAGCGTCGATTTTGAAGACACGGACCGTCGCGCGCGATCGATCGACGGTAATGACTCTTCAGAAGGGACATCACCGTGGTCGAGTGCAACTCGGACGCGTGTTGTTCCAGCGAGGGATCCCGGTTGATTCGGAGGGCGATCAACGGTTCAATTGGTACGAGTCTGGCTTGTTCGATAATCGTGTTGATTTGGTGCAATTGCTGCGCATTGAACGTATGCGCGTTTCACGCAGCGTCGTCGTTCGCTACGCTTGTTCGCTGAATAGTCCCCCCACGAGATTGCCGTTTTCGCTCCCGACCTTAGAATTTTTCTGATTTCAATCTTTTTAGTCAGTTATCTTTTTAGGCGGGCGAAGGTTCCAGCCATAATGGCGTCATCTGCCTTCTGGTTTTTTTTCATCCTAAAAAGGCTACTGTTCTTCTCACGCGTGAATCTTTTCCAGTAGGTTTTCTCGCCTTAACCTTCGATTCCTGCTTCTCGGGGGGTCGGTAGACTTAAACTCGTCTTTCTGAGACTTAGGCATGTTTATTTACGGCTTCTATCAGTTGTATAAAAACGCTCGATCTTTTTAATCAATTCGTCATCGAATTCACGGTTCTTCTTTGCGCGAAAGATTTCAGCCTGCTTTGATTTTGATCCCTTACCTCTACGATTTCTTCTTTTCAGAAGCATCACCTCAGCTTGAGACTTAATCTCAACTTCCTGATTACTAGATTTACACAGCCATACGCTGTGCGTATTGACTAACACGCAATTCTTAGAATTATTTTGGTTTTCTAACAATACAAGTTTTTTTTTTCTTGGTTTTGGTCGACATATTCACATTTACACACACGACTAATTTTCATTTTTTAAAAAAACTGACAACGACTAATTTTACTACATTAGTCGTGTGTGAAACCCTAACCCGATTCAAAACAACATCAACATAGAATACAAGTTTTGTATTGTTGGCTCAACCTTCAAACTGGAAGGCTTGTAGATTATGATTGATCTACAAATTTTGTCACGAAATGTACATTTCACTTATGGTTAGTATTGTTTTTCTTGTAGGTATATTTGTAGGTATAGTGGAAAAAAATTTTCTTCCCTTTTTTTTTGGTAATACTGCTATACCAATACTGCTATACCAATCTCATCTCGAACAGAGTTTTGTACTTTTACACAGAATTCTTCAGTGACTTGATCTCAAATGAATGACTAAAAGCTAATTCGCCTCTTCGGCTTTTTTTAGATGGTGTTTTCGGTCCTTCTCGGGCGCTGTCCGGCACTCACTCTCGGCACTTTGCACGGCATTGAACTCGCATGTCCGACGATACTCGCAGCAATGAGCTCATATTACGAACGATCGTAGATACGAATCTACGCTCACTTATTTCTTTGTGGCTAAATGCCGAATATGCTGAGAAGCCGGCGTTACGTTTCCTGGTGACATTATCCCCGTCAATCCTGGACTTTCGGAGATGTCCTCTATTGAGAGTATTTCCAAGAGATCAGTCTGATGTTCTAACAGAACAGATGTGATAGCCGGATACATAATATATGTATACACCTATAACAAGTTCACTTGTAAATTTTTACAAGTGAGTTTTTTTTTTTTTTTTTGAATTAAAAATTCAATTCTTAAATTCATACGGGATGCGGGATTTGCATCTCACATGTGGAAGACTCCGAATACCCCCCTAACTAATTTTAAAATATTGCGAAAAAAAAACTCCTCGGCCAGGAGTCGAACCTGAAATCTCCGGCTTACCGTGCCATCGCCTTCCCTGGGGGGTATTCGGGGTCTTTCGTATGTGAGATGCAAATCCCGCATCCCGTATGAATTTAAGAATTGAATTTTTAATTTAAAAAAAAAACTCACTTGTAAAAATTTACAAGTGAACTTGTTATAGGTGTATACATATATATGTATACACGTACAAGTTTCCGTTCAACATCTTGTGAACGGCTCGTATTGGTCTTATATACTTTAGTTGAAATTTTCACGAGCCTTAAAATATTATTTTAAATGGCTTTAGATTTTTCTTTTTTGAACTCTCAGTGTCTATTTTCTAATTATCAAATCGTTTCTATTTGACTTGCACTCGTTCTTCCTGATTTCTAGTAGCGCCCAGAAGTGCTGTCAAATCTTTACGCACTTTGTCGCTTTTTTTTTGTATATTGGTATCCCAAGTTTCACCTCTTGCCATTTGTCCCCACTCATCTAGAAGCGCAGAGGAAGCTGCCGCACGGTAGTGGCGCTTCTAGCACTATTGTGACACGGCCACCACCGGTGTCTCGGTCTCTATTTCCATCTTCCTCTCCGCGAGGAAGTGTATGTTAGAAGTAGCGGAGCCACTGCTCCACAGGAGGTGGCTTCGTTACTTCTAACATACACGTGAAATTTTTTTTATGTTCCAAATCCGCGAACATTGTTTTTTGTAACAACAAAAAACAATAAGAAAAAACAATAGTCATGAATGCATTATACATTGCGTGACAAATTTATAAAATAAGCTCTTATAAATCTCTCTCGTATAAACTCTCTTATAAATATGTATCATTATTTTTTTTTTTTGTACAGTCTGTTCAATGAGAGAATATCCCTAGCCTGCGCATAGGAGAAGCATATTTCTCATCGAAAAGGAATTTATTTGGAATTAGTAGAAACACACACGATTTATTTCTGACGCTATTTCTATTATTTTTTTTCTTTTTGTATAGAAGTGGAAGTGATGGTAGAGTTACTCGATTCTGAAGGGAATAGTGCCTGTATAAATGTAGCAAATGTATTCTTGGATTTTTACTGAATACACACACGTACACACACTCACATTTACACACATATTATATTTGAAATGCAAGCGCGATTGGAATAAAATGAGAAGATAAAAATATTAGTATTAATCGACAGACGAGTAGTGTAAAACAGAAACTTTTGTACTGTTGTTTAAATGTGCTGTTTAGATGCGAATGCGTTGTTTCTTTTTTTTTTTTTTTTTAGTACAAAATATGTCATAATCGAATTGCCACTTGTAAACTTTCTTCTACTTAAAAGTACTAAAGAGATCTTATATATACATATGAAGGCGTATACCACATTTGGCTTTGAAACAACATTTTAAGAGAACACAGTAGAAAAATTATCAGAAGTAATATTAAAAACTTCTATTCACCTTTTTACACACAGAGAAATGAGAGCTGGGAACATAACAAACGATTGAACTCTGTGCGCATTGCATCTAATAAGAACCAAACTTGTAAGCTATTGAGATGAGGTAAATGTACAATTTATAGTTTTAATGCTTACGCGCATTATTGCGTAGTGATGAGAAAAACCAACGTTAGCTTTAGCATGTTACCCCTGTTCAACTCTTGCTCTCCCTTGTAATTTGAAACACCGAGAAGACAATTTGCTGAGTGAAAAAAAAAAATATATACTGCTAGAAATATTTTATTTAATGACTGTCTAAATTTTTTTATATCTCTTTAGCCACCTTCCACTCCTCCGTTCTTCAGATTGTCCAAACACACTACTACAAGCTTTTAATTTAAGTAAAATTTATTTAAAAAATTTGTATATTTATAATTTATACATTTTTTTTTATTAATGTTTTGTTATTCATATAAATTTACAATAACAAGTTTTTATTCATCTTTAGTCACTTTCTGATTCTGTTTCTGCACTGAAGCCCGATCTTATTACCAAACAGCTTAATTTCGATTTCACGTAAATCTGTAATAATGCAAAATAAAAAAAAAAACAAATGAGCGAATTTTGTCTGAAATATTTTGTTGTAATTTGAAGAGTAAAAAAAAGTTTACTTTTTTCAGAAGTTTCTTTGTTTCGATATGATGTATTCGCAGATGCCTGTCAAGACTGACACTACCAATATAAGGCTTGTTCATATTACAAGCCACTCCGGTCACACCACCAGCAAATCCTTTGTAAGTGTTTAGTACGGTTCCTGGTTTCGATCTCAAATCAACAAGATTGATCTTGCCTTTACCAGTGCCTACTATGATACATCTGTAACATACACAAATATATGATCATTTGATGTATTATTATTACGAGAAAAAAAACGAAGATATACAGTATGCAAATGTCTCACTTTTCTCTGGGCGTGACGCTCATACAAGTTAAAGCTTCATCTACGATCGTTAGATTTATCGTGGGACGTCTTTGCGCACGTGGATCATACAACCGTACCTTCAATGAGGTTTGTATTTAAAAAAAAAAAAACACTAATGTATATTGATAATGTTTAAAATTTGTAAACATGTATTTTTAGATAAATAGTTTCAGATAAATATTGTTTTCTTACATGTCCGTATCTGCCGACCGTGACTATTTGTTGAGTTTCCGGTAAAAAGTCAAGATCCGATATCCAAATAGGTACTCGCAATTGCAGCCAATCGTGCGGAAGATTCTTTTCGCTGAATATCAAGGTTTGCTTTTCCAGATCAAAGATCTTCAGTCTATTTTCGAGCCCGCCGGTTGCTATTGTGTTTCTTTGCACACGCGAATGACACATTCTTTCCAAATTTTCTCCAGCATTTAGCAGTACCTGTTCTTGCTTGTTGAATGGACACAAACTTACTTCTCCAGATTTTACCGCTACCAAAACTGATCTAACAAAATCAAAAACTGTATCAATAATATCAATACGCATTAATCTGCATAAGAGATAGAGATTCTTTTAGATAAACTTTACTCGTCATATTGCGATATTCCATTTATGCTCCCTTTGCCTGCGGTACAAGGAAGCGAGCATGTAAACAAACCGCTCTCGGAGTCATAGATCTTTATTCTGTAAAAACAATCAAGTTGCAATATCGTAACTTTAATGAGGAAATTTAAAACAAAACAGATTCTTTTGGTTGTTAAAACCTGATCGTACATATATTCACCTTCTGTCTTCCTTTGCGCCACATGCGATTAAAATGTCCTTTTCGTCCTCGTCGCTCCAAGCCATGCGAGTCACCTGATCATTTTCAGTGATGGAGCTCAAATCTTGTATATTTTTAACTATATCTGCTTTTTTGCCGACTTTTATTCCTATCAAATTTACACACAAAATAGAATAGGGTTATAAAACGTACGTGAGAGAATCAACTCAAGTAATTTACCTTTAAAAACACCCAATTTTCCACCCACAAAAACGTTAAAATCCTCCTTGTAACTCATTTTTTATTTATTATTTAACGTCTTTTGAGACTTCAACACTGTAACTAATACAACTCATTTGTAATTATTGTTTCCTTGCGATGTTTTTCTCATTGACGTGCTCTGCAACCGTCCGCGTGATTCTTGTTGCAGCACGTGTGTCCTTTTAAGCCCGTTCCACACTAAGCGCGAGACGCGAACGTAAGTAGCAGGTCTCGTGGAATTGACCAATCGCATAGTCAAATCGGCCAACGTGATTGGTCGATTCCACGAAACATGCGACTTGCGTTTGCGCTTGCGCTTAATGTAGAGCGGACTTTATACGTAACTATATATAGTTGTTTAGAATATTTAGATTAGGTTAGGTTGAGATTAAGCCGTGGCCACTCTCGCTCACAAAACTACGGCCCTCTATTAGTCTATTCACGAGTCACTTGGCGGTGATTACATTACCTACTGCTCGTGATACAAGCTGCGCCGTTTTTATCGTAACCAGATAACCCTAACCTGGAAGTCAATCGAAGAGCGAGGAGGTAAGTAGCAAATATTAATGTATGAATAACTAGTATCTGGTAACTTCATCAATTGCATGTTTCCTCGACAATCAAAATCTAATTTATTCATCTGTTTTTTTTTTTTTTTGTTATTGAGACGCTCTCTGTATCTTTATTTTTATTTTTTTATCATTTTCTTTGTATTTTATCCCGATCGCGAAAGAGTGTAAAAAGTGTAGGGTAAAGCAAACGGATCGGCTCGGTTCGGTTGTGCCGGTCGGTTACGAATTTTTGGACCGTTGTCTCGTCGATCGTGCGCTACGGGAACGCAGAAACGACCCGGACATTTTTTTTTTTTTTTATCTCTGATCCAATTTACCGTGAAAAAAAAAAAAAGAGAAAAAAAAATTCACACCGCATTCACGTCCAACCAGGTAGAGGAGATCCCAACGCGCTTATCGATGCTTACGTGCGGTCAGGCGACGCGAGAACGTAGTACGTAGGAAACTCGTTCGTCAGGGTGAACGAGCGGTGGGGGAATGCGTCTCTCTCTCTGACGGGCCGAGGAGGAGGGGGCGAAAGAACGTCGAGGGCGAGTCTAAAGTGAAGGGACGAGAGCTGCTACACACGTGAACCGAACCGGGTCCGAAGCGAACGAGTGTGGTGACTGACGGCACAGGCGCAGGTCCGTGGCGCAGGCTCTCGGCTGTTTAGTTTGCACGCCAATTCACATACGAAGAGGAGAAAGAGAGAGAGAAAACGCGGATTCTCCGAGAGAGGACGGGACTCCGACGGGAGAGCGAGGCGTGCACACAAACGCGCGCGCGCGCGCCGCTGACGTGCGTGCTGCTCTCTTCTCTTGAGAGTAATTCAAATATTCTGAAAAAAAAAAAAAAAAAAAAAAACTTGGACGAGCGGAGTGTGCGCGAGTGTGTCCGCGACGAGAGAGAGAGAGAGAGAGAGAGAGAGGAGAGAAGAAATTTCCGGATACGGGAGGAATTTTCGGGCGAATAATAGTGCTTGGTGATTACGATTCGATTTGTCCATTTGTTTGGTGGATTTCTCTGGTGTAATACGTGCCACACAGTGAGGCCCTCCTCTCCTCTCCGCCCCCCCCCCCGGTGGCTACATAACTGATCAACAAGTCGCCGCGCCGATTTTCGGATAACTCAAGGCAGCAAGGTGTGTATAATTTTTCTCTCAACACGCACAAGTGTGTTTTTAACGTATCGTCGTTAAATCAGCATTTTGCGTGTGTCGCGAATTTTATTATAGTCGGCGACGATCAAAATAAGCGGTTATTATCGATTCGGCGAATCTCCTCGAATCGATCGTTCTCTTCTTCGGGTCCAGACCGGCGGCGGAGAAGAGCAGCTTGTTCCGCGCGGGTGTACGCGGAATCCGAAAATTGCGAAGTCGGCGAACGGGTGACCGAAACGGGTTTCGCGACTCGGGCTGTGTATATAGTATATATACGAGCCGGTAAGTCGCGTAACGCCCGTGTTTCGGCGTCTAATTCTCGCGAACAAAAAAAATGACGAACGCGAATCCATCGTGATTTCAAATCCGATCGGGAATTGATAAATGTCACGTATGTTGTATATGTTACATATACAAGCGGGGAATATCGTTTGCGCTGTTCTTTTTAATTCTTTTATAGACGTGATGAGAAGGAAGTTTTTTCTCTCGAAGGGAGACCCTCCATATCTTTTTTCTCTTACACAAGTTCTTGACACCTGCGCATCTCCAAATTCTTTGCGAGTTTTGCTCTGAATCTTTCGATAGAAAGATTATCGAGCAAAATTTTCAGAGTTACCGGTTGCTGTGTTGTTCGTCATTACAAACAGCCACATCATCGCGATGGTATTTTAACGGTGGGTATTTAATTGTTCTGTTATACTTGTGCGCATTATTATCTCGAACACAGTTTTTACTTAAGTGTTCGCGCGTAAGAAATTCGAGTAATTGCTTTTAAAATAGGTCTTGTTACATCGATAAATCGTTTTGTAGACTACCAGTGTGTTATCTATTCCACTTTGAAAGATAAAGACAACGCTTCATTCAGTACAGCACCGCGACGAATATCTCAAACGGATGGAATCCGGAAAAAGTATATACCGGTCTCCGCAACAGAGAGAGAGAGACAGCGTATATATACGGGTTTTCCTTTTCCTTGTCTCTCCAAACAAGTTTTCTCTCTGACGGCGATTATAACGGCTGCGGATCTCGGCCTGAATATTACGTGAAATTGGAGCGGTACTTCGATCTTTCCGCGAAACGGTACTCGGTATCAGCCTGCAATGCGCGTTCTGCGGGTATTTTAATGAGTGATGTAACTACGAATTACAGATGATCAAATGCGGAAGAGAGAGAGAAGAGAGAGAGAGAGAGAGAGAGAGAGAGAGAGAGAGAGAAATAGGGAACGAGGTTCTGCATATTTGCGAAGGTTGCAAAACCGACTTGCAAACTCGTAACAGCGTTGGACGATGTGATTGATCGAATTGAATGAGATATCGACATTGCGCAGATGACGTAGATAGTTTAGCGGATATGTAAATGATGTAGTTAATAGTTTATTAGATAATTAAATTTAGAATATTAAAATAAAATTAGATAGTTTTATTTCGAATGTTTATTTTGAAATATTAAATGAAATATTAAATTAGTTTATCAGATATTTAAATTGAGAACTATTTAAATTGAGAGTTCATTTACATTCGTAAGACTTGGTTTTATTTTAAATTCACAATCTGCGTTTCACACGGAACATTAGAGTGTACAAACACCGATGTAACGTGAAAAAAAAAAAACATGTGTATATATACTTACTTATTTACGAGTTTAAAACCAACGTGTGAGAGCGAGAGAATTTGTAATCCGTAATTTAAACATGCGAAATACCAAAGAGACTCACAAATTGAGAGTTGAAAAAAAAAAAAAAAAAAACGCTGAGAGTTGAATAGCGAAAATTACGAACACAAAGACGAAGGGGTGTTTGAAACTGAAAGAGGGGCTGTGTGTGCGACTTGAAAGTTGAGAGTCAAAGGGATTGATGATCGTCACACTTGAAAAATGAGAGGTAAAGAGAGCCGAGAGAATCGAGTCACACATAACAGAACTTACACTTGCTCTCAAACGAGTCTAAGGACACGCGCGTACACACACACACACACACATGCGGGTCCCTTCAAAGTGCTTCTTTGCATTCTCCGTATAGTACGAGTCTCAATGAATTCTCTCGTTTCGCCGGTGATACGCTTCTTCGCGCGCTTATGTAGTAACTCTATGAGGCGGAAGTTATACGTGCGTACGTTTCTCTGTGTGCGTGTGCGCGTATACGCGGCATGTGCACACTGTTGAACGAGGTGAGTTACCACATACGCACTGTGTGAATGCGCGTGAGAGAGAGAGAGAGAGAGAGATCGCACATGCCTACGTCTTCTGCGTGAAGTTGCCGGACCGCTCTAGGAGCTTGTGCTCTCTCGCGTTTCCCCCTTCCAACTTGGGGGCCCCAAGAGTCGAAGATCCGGAGGGATCTCCTTGGCGGGACTCTCCGTGGTCGAGTCGGGTTACGGGGGTCTTCAAGGCCCCCCCGACCGATCTGTGCCGTCCCATAGGTATCAATTGACGATTGGCGAAGTTGTCCGAGCGCCGGGAGAAATTTTCGTTCGACCGCGACTGTTTCGTTTCCCTCGGAGATGAATTTTCGCGGCGATTTCTTTAGCTACCCACGTTTTTTCATCTTTGACACACAAGAGCGTGAATTTCTCGTAGATTTAAAACGCGCAATATTGTTTCCGCGCGAAGAGATTACGCGATTCTCGACCGAATAATTTCCTTTTCGTGCTCACTTTCAAATTCCACGCGTAACGAGAATAACGACAGCACCAGTCAAGATCGTGTAAGTTTACACATCCACGTAGGAGGTAGATTGTTGATAAACATGATGGGGAGAGAGAAAGAGAGAGAGAGAGAGACAGGTATCGCGGGCGTTATTAGTTTTCTCGTGTCCAGATTCCAGACGTTCGAAAGGTCACGCCGAGTTACGTACGTACGTACGTACGTACGTGCCACGTACATCGGGACTATCTACCTTGCTTTCGACGCGTATTCCGCAAATTGCAATTAACCTGTCGCTTCTACATTGTTGTTTTTTTTTTTTTTTGTTTTGTTTTGTTTCCGCTCCGAATTCGTTGTTGCGTAAACGACGAATGTATGTATGCTATTCGGTAATCCACGTTTTCGATTCGCGGCAAACGGGCGCGAAGAAGCGACGCCCACGACGCTTTATTTGGTTCACCGCGGTGAGCGGGCACAGGTTGCGAAGCGGTTTGTCGGCGTGGCGGTGAATGTAAAATTGCCAAGACACATGCTGGAATGTAGATTTTTCTTGTCGGCTTTCTACTCGTCCGTGACGTCACGCGTCTCAAGGAGTCATTGTTCGACACGTTGTAGGCTACCGGCCATGTGAACGCAAAACAGTGGGGGAAATGGCAGAAAAAAGTAGAGAAGTTTTCAATATGCACTGGGGACAACATTTTTCCGATCTTCGCTATCGACGACACACGCAAGCCGCGTGTGTGTTCGGTAAAAATGAATACAAAAGGAGACAGCGGTACGGAAGATAAATAATTCGAAAACACAGGGTGACGGCGCGGCAAGATTACGAGAGAAATATGATCGCGAGAGAAAAGAACGAGACCCACATTTGCCGCATATTAATACCGCTCAATAGGTCTGAAAAACTTATTCAATGCAAACACAAGGAGTGAGAATCGGGCGGCATTTTGTGAGACCGATTTGATGAGAATAGGCGATTGACTAGAATAGGAAACAGGTGGTTGAATCGCGCGGCCTACACACACACACATACACACACATAATTATTCGTGCGTCGCTGACAAATCAAATGAGCGATGACAAACTTAATTTCGATATTTTGCGCGTAAATGAGCGAATTAAATGCGACGGCGACACGTTGCGAAAACGGATAAATCGCGCGCAAGCCTTTGCTTCTATAACGCGCGAGGCAATTTACACGCGACGATTTAAACAAGTCGCGAGATAGGTCGCAAAGCGGTTTCTTATATAAACCTTTTCGACGCATACGTATAACTTATTAAGTAATTTTTTTTTCTCGATGAAAACGTTTATTTATTTCTGTCTTTCTCTGTCTCTCTCTCTCTTTCTCTCTCTCGTGTGTAATGCAAATACCGCAGAAACGGCCGTAAAATTATCCGCGGTGTTAAAAGAAGTTTCTGAGGTATCGGATATACCCGTGACTTAAAACCGAGAGGCGCCTTCGGAGCGGATACTCGACACGCGCGCGGTGATGCAGGAAAGCGCATACTCGTAACTGTATCATCCCGCGGAATTGTTCGCATGCACGTAAAGCTAACGGTTCTCGTTCGGATGCATCTTTCATTTTCTTTCTCTTTTTCTCTCTCTCTCTCTCTCTCTCTCTCTCTCTTTCTCTCGCCGAAGAAATTTTGCTCGCGAAATGCGCGTTGGCGCGTGCAGATCTCGTTATTTATTTTACGACGTAGATACAACACTCGCGAGAGTCTCATCCGAATGGAGAATTAAGTTTGGCCGAGGCTGAAAATCCGATCGCGCGCGCGCAAACATCTCGACACTCGACGAGAAGATCCGTCCCGCGCGATGCAAAGCTCTCATTTGAATTCCTTTTCGCGAGAAATCGCGCGAGAATGTTTCACGAGCCGTGAAACGTGCGATCATCAATCGCGCGAGATGTAGCGCGTAGAACGGAACGGATACGAGATGGATACATACTATACATATATATTTTAACGAATCCTCGCGCGGCGATGAATTATTTAAGATCGCACGAGTCGCGTTTTTTTGTTTTTGTTTTCGGAACAAAAAAAAAAAAGAAATTTTATTTACACGGTGAAAAACAAATGCTTATCTCGAAACGCTTATCTGTTTCGACGTTAATTCACGCGTGACGATAAGCGAAGAGGATTACATGACCGGGCGAGTAGCCGCCAATGAAGTTACCGAAGTGTTATTCAATCCCGACTGATGCGTAACATCATTAACCCTAACGAACACTTCAAATCAGTAACGCTGTTCATGTAGATATTCGCATATTGTGTGAGAAAGACGTTGCTCTCTCTCTCTCTCTCTGTGTGAGTCCGGATTTCTGTCGCAGAAGCATT